CACTAGGAACAACTTAACGGGTTTAAGAAGTGACTTCTAGGTCATCATGCTCCATAGGGAACAACATCTCCTCCTTATCCTCAGGGGAATCCCCTTGGCATCCCCCGGAAGGCCTGGTCAGAATAGCGCAAGACGAGACTCAGGATCTGGCCCGTGTTCCTGCCCAAACTCCTTCCGGCCTCGGCAACGCAAGCCCGTCACGCGACACCTGTTATTTTCTTCTTGCCGCATATCCATAGCTGTCAACACGGCCACCATTGACACCGTGGCATTGGCGCCGCCACCCCCCTATCTGCTAATAGATCATCGGAAAGCTCGCTCCGGCTGCGGACTCATATCAGTCTATGCAACCTTGCGGAGGGGACCCCCGCCCGCCCCCCCTAAGAGAGACCAGAACACCAAGCTCTCCAGGGACTGGTAGCTACCGCAGGTCTTTGCTGTCATGGTTTCTGTAATCAGTTCTACAATCAGCTCGCCTGGTCATCTAGGAATTCAGGTGTCGGAGCCTTCTGGTATGTTATTCAGGTAGTGTCCAGCTGTGTGCGTGTGTGTGTACATACCTCTACAGTGTGTGTATATAAGTGTGTGTATATATATGCGTATATATAGCTGGGAGTGATTCTATTTATTCCCTTTCATAATCTGAAAGTGGGTTTTGTGTATTTGGGGCAGAAGAGGCATGGAAGGGGATGTGTCCTGTCCCTTGCGATTTCTATTATCTGTCATGTGGATTGGACCAAAACAACTTCTGATGACTTTAAAAGGTATATTGTAAGTCTCCATGTGCGGCTACCTGTGCATGTTACTGTGTACTGAGGAGTACACGTAAATGTGCTGTTTCTCAGTCTGAGAAGACAGCCACGACGTTTGGTGTCTCAGTAGGGCTTTTGTTTTTCCCCGGTTGGCTGAAGTTAGAACTGCTTGATTGACACTTCATTACTGTACATAAAGGGGCACTTTAATCAGGAAACTCTCAGCTCCATAGAACGGGTCACCAGTGCGGTGGGGGAAATTTCAGTCACTGCACAGTTGTGCAGGAACCACCATTCCAGTTGCAGTGCAGCTGCAGTGACCGCTGAACCTGGGACGTGTCCTCACAGGTAAGCTCTTTGCCTACAACACGTGGATAATGTAGTACTGTAATCTTGGGTGTTTTTATGCTGTTGGAATCCTTCCATGGGCTCTGTGAAGCTTCATCAGCGTGGCTTCACGATCCTTGCTTTGACTCACGTAAGAACTGTCCGACACAGTGCCCTGCAGTGCTCAGTCCAGGATGTCTTTGGGTCAGTAGTTATCTTCCAAGTGTGTGCTTTAGGTAGATGTTGATCTTAGGGATCTGTAACCGTTGCTATATCAAGTATTCCCATCCTATGCCCAATATAGTGCATCATCATGAAAAACAAATCACCTTCTGAAATGTCTATATTGCTCTCTAGAAGGTTGGGGTGATTACAAAAGGAACAAATGGCCCCTGTGCAGGTATCATTAATCAGGTTGTACAGGGATTGTAATGTGTAATACAAAGAGTCTCTGTAAGTGTGAGACCATCACAGAGGGAGGGAAATGAAGACGCCTGCTGCAGCCAGGTGGGGAGTTGTCCGGTTCCCAGGTGTTCTAGGGAGTAGTGTAGTCCAAGCACAGTGAGTGGCATCACATATTATGCATGTGCAGTTTGGCATAACAGAAATCACTGCTCTAATGACTCAGTAGTCCTGTATGCTTCATGCTACACTTCATGTGCTTTTTTTTTTCCTGTGAATTTTCTTTTGTATCTGAGAAAAATGTGATAAATTGACCGTTAGGAATAAAACGCAGTCTCAGAGCTGCTCTTAAACAAAAGAACAAAGACTAGCTCCCCCAGGAGCGATAAGTGAGCACATCTGGTAATGAAGGTCTGCCTGTTGTGGCTCAGGATGACCAGGGCAGAAACCTCCTGACACTGTCCCATAAGGAAAATGTGCCCATGCAGTGGAGCAGACAGGAAATAGAGAGTAAGTGAAAGTTAAGTATGCAGTGTCCAGATACCCATATAACCCACTCCAATGAAGGGTTGCATCATAGAGTAAATGGCACCCACCTCTCCATTGCCACGTCTGCAGGATATTGTTCAATATATTCATGTGCTTTTAGAGCACTAAGAACATATACCATTGTGCATTTTTTAAAGCCCTGCTTCTTTAAAAGATACTTTTTGGGTCTTTTCAATTGTTCACAAGGTCTGTGTGCTTGATATCGTTATGCTTATGAAGTGACCTTTACCACATCTGCATTGTTGATTTAGGCATGCACAGCAATTTGGATAACATTTGAGTACAGATTGCCAAGCTTCAGTGTGAATCATGAGTGAAATAATTTCCCAGTCTCTGCCTGCAGTTTTATATTCTAAGAATCACCCTTATTTGTGAAGTAAAAGAGCTATTAGGAATAGGAATCCAAGGACATATTCACTAGGGGTTTTTACTGTGGTGGTGTCATTTTTACATGAAGGTGGACAATTTCAACTTTTGTAACATACCCTCAATCAGTGATTTGAACCCTAAGGTACAGCCTGTTCTTTTTCAGTGCGGGCTTTCCTGGGACTTCTTGCTGTGTCAGTGCTGATGACAGCCCTCCTAGACTGATGCTTTTGGTGCATCATTCTCCTGAAAGAGCAGAACAACACTAGGGACACCCAGAAGAGAGCTGGGTCGGGGAGGAACTGTCATTTATACCCCAATCCATTGGCATGTCTGACAACAGGCTGTTTACATTTCTCCAAAGATGGAAAAGGCTATTATCTATGTCATGGTGAAACAACTGAATCATAAAAAAATAATAACACTTTAGATTATACTTCCAGTATTTTAGCTCCCTGATGGAGTTTTTTAATTTGGATTTTTATTGGGATGAAGTTTTGTTTTTGAGACTATTTTTATTATTTTCTCTGGTGTGTGCATGGTAAACCCTACTGCCAGATGACACTAGTTCTGTGCCTTCTTCCACTGCCTCCTGCTCAACAGCATAGATTCCCCAGGTCAAAGAACTAAGTCTGGACAGCTGACTGGGCTGTACTGAATGTGGACGAACATCCTGTGGAAGGTAGTGCAGACAGTTGCCTATTAGAGCTAGTGACTTGGTTATCTTGAGGGTGTCAATCACCCTATAATTAACGTTTTGGTACCAACTCTGAAGTCAGCTACAACTTAGATCAGGTTTACAGGCATTAATATAAATGTTAGGCTATTCTCTATTGAAATGTTACCAGCTTGGCTTTTATTACTCGAATAAATACATTTTTTCCCCTTAGCTACTATAATTCTCACTTGGGAAAAGTATATTTTTTTCTTTTTTAACTATTCTTAAGGTTTTTACAGATGCCCACTTAACGATAAATTGGATTTTTTAAAATGAGACTTTTTAAAATGAGAAAGATTGCTGACTCTTACAAGTTATAGGACACGATTTTAATCAGAAAATTTCAAAGTAATGTGGACACCGTGTTTTCTAGTCCTCTGAAATCAAGGTGCTGCTGGCCACTGAGGGCACATTCTGCTAAGGGCTGTGAACTATCTTAGAAGGCCCTCTCTATGTAAGTTTACTGCATGAAAACAGTGCTGAGGTTATCAAGAAAGTTTAAATAAAATTAGAGCGACAACGCAGATCAAAGTTCATAGGAGCTGTGCATCCCATTAGAGTTTCAGAAGCTGCTATCCTGGGAAAATAGTTGTTAATAAGCTTGTGTCAAAAATGTGATGTCATAAATATAGCCTGAAAAAATTCTCAGGTAATGATGTGGATTGGTTTGATTTGACTATCAGGTCACCAACAGAACTGTTTGTCGCCTTCTTCTCTTAAAAGTAATTTTATTTTAAAAACATAAACGCGTTAAAATTTTTAAATGCGTAAAAAACTTTCTTAGTTTTATGTTACCAAATTTTTAAAACATGTCATCTATAGATATGTTTAGAAAACTGATGTAATCTCACAGATTTTATTCACATTTAGACCAAGTAAACCTGAATGACCCTGACTTGCTTTAAGTGAAATAGGAATAATTGGATTTATACACTTTTTTTAAAAAATATATTTTATTGATTTTTTACAGAGAGGAAGGGAGAGAGAGTTAGAAGCATCGATGAGAGAGAAACATCAATCAGCTGCCTCCTGCACATCTCCCACTGGGGATGTGCCTGCAACCCAGGTACATGCCCTTGACCGGAATCGAACCTGGGACCTTTCAGTCTGCAGGCCGACGCTCTATCCACTGAGCCAAACCGGTTTCGGCAGATTTATACACTTGATGAGAGGATTCTATCTCTAAAAATCACTTTAGGTTGCAAGCACCTTTTGGCACTTTGAGTTTTGTTCTATACACTTTACATCATTTGTATAAAGCAGGATATCCCTGGTCCTGCTCATAAGGTTGAGATCTGATCCACAGAGAGGCGAGGAGAACAGAAATATCCCACTATCTTTTAAGGTTTATTTTCCTTTAAAAATTCAAGAGAAGTACATTTCTACACCTTACCAGTCTATCCCTTAACTAAGTGCTCCGTTATTGTTGTATCCTTGGAAGGTCTATATGTAAAAGAAATCTGATATTTATCTGTAAAATAAACTTGCTAAACAAAAATAAGCAAACAATATACTTGATAAACACTAGAAGGGGGAAAAATCTCCAATTGGTTTGCCCTTTGCTTGTTCGAGTAATGAACCATTTTGAAGAGAAAAGAGTATCTGCTATAATCCCCAGTGCCTTGAACTCTTTGGGAGGAATAGCATTAAAAAAAACCTAACAAGCAAATTTTGAGGTGCTAGTGAAAAGGAAGGTATTTCTAGTTTATGCAAAAATAGAAAAAGTTACTATCTCACAAGAGATGGCTCCATCTGCCTAACGAGGACTGGCTGCTTTCTACCAAAGACAGAAGTGAGTGTGTTGGTCACAGACAGCTGTTGACACCTAGCTCAGCTCCTAAATGCTGAAGCTTTCTTAGGCAGAACATGCTTGCAGCACTTAGAGGGGAAAACCTCAGCATCTTTGGAACTATCCACTGTTTCCACTGTTGAATTTATGGTAACCTAATACCAAAAACTGCCATTGTCCATGATTGCCGTCTCTATATTTTTCCTTCACTTGTAAATAATCTCTCCTAGAAGGTAAGCATTAACTGGAATGTTTCAAATGATGTTTAATTTTATTGTCAGTCACTAGTGAACTCCTTTTATAGAAATGTACATTTAAAATAAAATATCATTAGCTTGTGCTAAATGGTGTAAAAACATTGTTTACTATTTTAAAGGAAAATTGCACATAATATTTAACTGGGATTGCTCCCTCTCTTCCCATTTCTTTAAAAAGTTAAATCAAGGCTCACATTGACATGTAGGCTGTGGGAAGCTTTGCTATAAATAAGTAAATAGATACAACATAGGAATGTACTTTTTTAAAGCATGAAAAGAAGACAAAAGGAACTGCATTATAAAGTAGCCGATAGAGGACATTATTCAAATGATTATGCACAGCTCGGTGAAGATGAAGTTACAATTTTTCTTTCAGCTTTGTTGCTATTATTTTCTTGTTTAAATGTACGCTCTCATTTCATTATGTGCCTTGCTCCCTGATTGTGCAAACCTATAGATATATATATAGATATATATATGAGAGAGATATATACAGTACTACTGACGATGTTTTTGTTCTACTGCTAGATTAAGTTATTTTCCAAGTTACTCTTGCCAGTGAAGTATTGTAATGGCTTAGGACAGTAGTCAGTCAGTGTAAATTTGTTTTCCAGTTACATGTTTTCACTATGTTAGCTTACCCAACCCTTAATAAAAATAATACATAGATTTCATTTAAACATGGGGACTTCACTTGACTGTTTGTGGATCGGCACCATTAAGAACCTGGTTTTGCTGTTTATGTTGGGGTACCCTAAATAGGTTGTGCAGTAAGAACAAATTAAGTGTGAAAGTAAAATACAATTTGAAGTGTTCAATTGGTTAATCTTTAAGTACACAAACTAGGGCGCTTTGGTTGTTAAATAGATGTTTTTTTCTTTTATTTTTTTTTTAATATATTTTATTGATTTTTTACAGATAAGAAGGGAGAGGGATAGAGAGTTAGAAACATCGATGAGAGAGATCAATCAGCTGCCTCCTGCACGCCCCCCACTGGGGATGTGCCCGCAACCAGGGTACATGCCCTTGACCGGAATCGAACCCGGGACCCTTGAGTCCGCAGGCCGACGCTCTATCCACTGAGCCAAACCGGTTCGGCTGTTTTTTTTCTTTTAAACAGAAGTACAAACTAGTACAAAAGGGATCCTTTTTGTTCAAAACTTTGGTATCACAATTATGTTGGACTGCTATGTCAAGGTATGTATAAAGGTGTATTTACAAATCACTTTATCATTTACCAAAACTAGGGGAAAAGTGATCATAAAACTTTAGGTTCACCTACAGCAAAAATAGTGATAGAAAACAGCTGTCTTGAAGAAAAGAAATTTCACAGAGATGAAAATTCTTTTAAGGCTCAACATTTAAAATATTTGAAGTTTGAAGACTTACTTACTAAAAAGGAGCTGCTGGTTTGGAGCAACGGGAAGGATTCTCTCCACACTTGTTATATACCACCTTAGAAAGAAAGGAGGTTACTTGCATAAATAATTCACAAAACACTTAGATACTTTGTGGAATTTTATTTAGGTCAGTTCTTAGTACACAGCAACAATTCCAAATACAATTTCAAAATTAAGAAGTGAATGCTCCCCCGCGCATGGAGGTGGTTTAATGGCACACACACGAACATTACCGGCAACGACGCTCCCTCAAGTTTTCCTGCGTGGTTTTTACTCACAACACCAACCTTCTCTCTGGGAGCTAAAAGTACAACTGGCCAGATCACAGATTGTTTACCTTCTCTTTGTAAACCATTTAGTTAAGATAAAAGATTCAGGGACACAAAATATTATAAAAACTGCTTTTTCATAGCATTCTGAAGTTGCAAAAGACATTTCCATTTTAATGTGAAAATAAGTTTTTTGGTTTTGGGATGCTTTTTTGTTTACTAAAGAAAAAAAATCTCAAGATATTTAGCAAGGATTATTTGTCATTTTAAAGAATTATGTGATTGATTCTCAATAAGAAATAGGAACAAAAATCAGCATGAAGTAAATCTAAGGTAATGACCGCAATGTCTGTTTAACGAAAACCAGTTTTATAAGGCTGCCTGCTGTGCTCCTACCAGTGCTGAAAGAACGTTTCTGCTACATCCACCTAATGGAAAAGGCCATTTGTACTGAGTAGTTATTAAGGTTGCAGTTAGTACACGCCTTCAAACAAGTTTACTTTAACGAATACTGTGGTGGTATTAACTGAAATAATAGCTTTTCAAGTACCTTCCTGAAGACATCCAGGAGAATCTTAATTTTTGAAGAAACATACAGCATATTCATTTAAGACACTAGAAATAGTAACGAGCGGCAGAGTCAGAAACTACCATTATTAATTAGCTCTTATCTGAAATGAACCATCTAACCTCCGGTAAAATGAGACTGAACTACAATCTCTTCTGGCTCTAAAGCTATGATCCTAAATAAATCATGTGAGGGAAATCACCAATCAAGCGTTTCTGGTCCGAGTAGTTCAGAAGTGATTCAGGCAGGTCCCCATTCTTCCAGAGATTGGGCAGTCACCTGCCAATTCCTCCATCGAATCCTTTTCAAAGGGAAAGGGGGCCCTGCTCTCCACTGAGCAGAAATAAAATAATTTGAAAATAGTTCCTAATGCAGAATGGTAACCTGCTAAAAGAAAACGGACACGAAAGGATAAAAGCCAACTACCATCATTTTGAGGCCTCTCAAATCATCTTCAATCAACCCAAGACTGCCAAGGAGCACAGCTACATTACAGAAATCCCTGGGAAGGCGAATAAGACATTCTAGTTGGGTAATAAACAAGCAGAAGGGGAAAGGACAGGGAGGGAAAAACGCCCCACCTGGGGACCTCCAGGAATACACAGCACAGCAGCAGGCCCTTGCAAACTCTACAGTGGCCCTGAGGGAGATAGACAGCAAATAGCCAAAAGATGGAAAATACTGAAGAAAAGATTCCTATTTCTTTTAAACACAGCGGGCTGAATCTCTTAGGTCTAGATTTTGACACGTTGATACTTTTTGTTTCTGATTTACTGCCTTGGCCATTAGGTCAATGACAAAAGTATTTTGATTCATACCACCATGGCCTTTCAAACAACTGTACCAAAAAATAAGTTAATTAAAAGGAGTGACTTAAAAGTTGTTCCTTTTTTTTTTTTTTAAGAAAACAGGAAATGGACAGTAAGTCAAAAAGGAAAAAAAAATTCCCTCTCCCATTAGATTCTATCCTGATAATGTTGCTTGTCAGCAGATTTAGACTTGGATCCCCTTTGCCACAATATCATGTAGCATGTGAGATTTCTACATTCATTTGGAATTCCTACTGCCCACTATCTCATCTCATTTATAAAAAGATAAATGGGGAAACTGACAATAAAACAAGAAATACTACCGTCACAGACTGTTAATAGCATGCAACCTATAAAATATCATATACATTAAGTCTCCCATTACTGTAGGCCTGGCCCATCGTTACACAGTATCCTTCCAAGACAATATATGGAAATCAAACTGTACAAAAATTTAAAGTATGCAGAAAATCAAACATGTTTTTTAAAATCACACATTAGTATTAAATAATAAAGGAAAAAGTCAGCTGACCCGTGGATCCCCTGCTGCCGGCCGTCACCACCAGCCTCTTCTGCTTGCCTCAGTCCAACAGGCAAGCAGCCGCCACCAACTCTGGTTGCACAGTTGTCTGCCATCGGTGTGAGGTATGGAACTATTTGCTGGATTTCAAAATTCCTTCTTATTAAATCCACTAAGCTTTCTCAGCAAAAAGGTATTTAAATAAATAATTGGAACACCTAATTTTAAAGATTTTCCTAGTTATACACCAACACCAAGAAGAGCGTAATCTGTCCAAGTGTAGTATAGGTTGGGTTCATAACGAAGCCGACAGCTCGGAGGACACTCAAGGCTATTACTTCAAAGGAAAATAGGATAAAGGATGTTGGGATGGGATGACCTCACGAAAACATGGAGGCAAAGCCAAATTCTAAGTGTTAAAGAGAGCTAAAGGCAAAATAGCTGACTTGCAATGTATGTGTGTGGGGGGGGGCCTTCAACTTTACAACAAAGAGTCTTGACAAGGGACCTGTGTATCTGGGTATCAGTAAAATGGTGAAGTTTTGTGCTCTGATAGACTCACGGCTGGAATATTCTGCCTGCACCATCTGAGTTCCCTCGCACACTACCACCATCCATTTTCAGTCGAGTCCTCTATCTGCACTAGTTCATGTTCAAGGCTTACATGTGAAACACAGTTGACCCTTGAACAGCACAGGAGTTAGGGACCCTGAGACCCAGGCAATTGAAAATCCACCTATAACTTGACTCCCCACAACTTAATAACTACAGTCAGCCCTCTTTATTGAGGGGGACTGGTTCCAGGACACACACACCCCAAAATCCTTGGATTTCGCAGTCCCCTTATACAAAATGACAAAAAAATGCACACAGCTGGTTCTCCCCATCTGTGGTTCCCAACTGCAGATTGAAAATACTGCTTTCATTCATAACTGGTTGAATATGCAGATGCAAAATCCAGGGATACGGAGGGCCGACTGTATATTTCTTGAAAAAATCCACGTGTAAGTGGACCTGTGCAGTTCAAACCCGTGTTGGTGTTGTTCAAGGGTCAACTGTATATGCAGCTATTACCTCTCCCCTTTGGACCCCGCACAGGGAAGTCGCCGGGCAAAGCTCGCTCTGGCCAAGTCACTGGGACTGGGAAGAGCCCATCACAGCGTGGGCCTGACCATGAGCTGCTTTATCCCCGAGTTTCACCTGCTGAGCAGCAAAGCCCTGGATTTTTAAAACATTTCTTATACTGATTACGGAAATGATTGAAGCCATCTGACTTACCGACTCCACTGAACTTGAAGCTATAATTGGGCAGATAAAAAAAAGTGCTGTATTGCAAAGTCCTTTCAGTTTTTAATCTATGTAATTGGATAAATATTTGGCCTTACCCCACTATTCTTAGTCTGAGATACAAGTTCAAATTCTTACCAAAGGAAGCTACTTCCAAGACCAACCACAAAACCAAGCGAGTATTTCCCTTTTCTAAAGTCAAGTGAGTAAACAACTCAGCAGCAGCTAACACTGGCCATTAGTATCACCAAGATTACAGTAGCAAGCCTTTTATTCCCAGTGACTATCAAGAAATTTGAAAATAACTGCTATTTTCCCCCAAAAGAATGTTTTTCTCAATAGTGAAAGTAAACAGTTGGTCTAACTTCCAAAATCCTGCTCCTCAAACCAGTGCCTAAGGCAAAGCCTTAGGATGCCTGTTGGGCAGCAGTTTCTACAGTCCAATCTTTTCAGGACCTTAAGCGCCTTCACGGCCAGCATCACACACCTGGTGTGCTGGCCCTTCGTGCAACGCAGTCTCATGCAGCAGCAGCACATTCAAGTCACACTGGCCATTGCCAACCACCCTCAGAATGTTGGGAGACTCATTTCATCATCATCTACAAACAGAAACATGAAGGGATGCAAGTCAGTTCAGCATTCACTCTGGCACGCGCAAGTACTGAGAGAGTGCAGAATTTACCTGTGACAGGAAATGAGCCCTCGGAAACAACTAAACATGGTTCAGTATGGTATTCAAATATCGGTTCCCTCCTCATACAGGTGGAAGAAAGTGGGGTACGCAGTAGGCCACAGGCTAACCCTTTGGCACAGGCACTGAAGAACAGCCAGTGCCACAGGTTCTGCAGAAGATATCCCATGGTGTACAGTATTCCTGAGAAAGATCCCAGATTTTGCTCTGAATCAGTCTTAACCTGATTTGTTTTACAGTTATGCTGTTATTCCTCGACATATTCAGAAACGGTCACTATTTCAATCCAGACAGCTCAGCATAGTACAAATGATGACAGAAAGATCCATTTGTTCACAATTAGGTTTGCTTTTTGCTTTAATACTGGGGGATAAACCGAAAACAACAACACATACGTAGTTTTTATCACTTGTATCCTTCATTCACTTCACTGAGGGGAAGGCCAGGGCCTCGGGATAGTCTGGGAAGTCCTGCCTATTCCTGGAGGGAAACGGCGGCGGAGCTTCACTCGGAATAATGCATGATGGACTCGACGTAATTCCCCGGGAAGAGCCCCGTCACTCCGTTCATAACGCCCTCGTACCAGCCATCGTCGTTCTTCTTGATGACATAAATGATGGCTCCTTCCTGAAAAGACAGCTCGTCTTCCTTGTCTTTTGTATAATCATAAATTGCCACAACTAGAGGGGGAAAAACAGGATGTGAAAAGTAATATTCCTACAAAGATAGAACCAAACAAATGAATATCCATCCTTTCCCAACTTTTACAGCACTTCAAACAGTGACTTTCTAAACACAGATCAAAATCCCTTCTTTTCCTGAAACCCAGTCCTGTGTAACGGGATCCCATCTTCTTGGGGAGGATAGGTTCCAAGCAGTTTAAATGGCAAAAAAAAAAAAATCAGTGAAATTACCTTTCAGCAGCCTATGGAGAAATACCTCACTGAGGAGCGACAATCCCAGAATCGGGAAAGATGACTATTCAGTTGAGCTTGTGTTGTGTCAAAACACGTCTTTCAACATTAGAATTATCTAGTGCAGTGACACACACCATGAGAGGCAAGTGAGAAGATGAGATGAACTAAAGGGATATGGGAGCCCATGCCTAGTCACTGAGTACGATAGTGGTTGAGTTTCCACAAATTCTATGTGCAAATGCTGGGGGTCCATTATATATGTACTCTTTCCAAACACATAGGGTATTATGCCACCAATTTAACACATCCCCATAACACACTAAAAGTGTCATGGAAACCAAGGTACCTGTAAGCTCTCCTGAAACTTTCCTTGCTTAAATAATTTGGTAACTGGGGCCTTTAGATGTTATCTGGGACAGCCTCAGGCTCCTGTTGCATCTACCTCAACAGTTTATTTAAACTGGGAGAGCCTATTGCTCAAATCCACTTGAAGATTTACCTTTTTAAAAAAATATATTGTTTGTTATTTAAGAGAGGAAGGGAGAAACAGAGAGATAGAAACATCAATGATGGAGAGTGAATCATTCTCTGGCTGCCTCCTGCACACCCCCCAGTGGGGATGGAGCCTGTAATCCAGGCACGTGCCTTGCCTGGGAATTGAACCATGACCTCCTGGTTCACAGGTTGATGCTCAACCACCGAGCTATGCTGGGCTGGCAGATTTCTCTTTTCTGTAAAGAGATCCTCTGTATCTTTTTATATCACTCAGAATTTCACTCAACAACAATCTCCATCTACCCATCATTCTGAGAAGTATATACTGACTTTGTTTCTCATGTAACTTTAAACCTCAAATAAGAAACAAACTACAATAGGAGTTTATGATATAGTGCAACTTGCCCCAGTTCATTTGTGTGTCTGGCCTACTTTAGAACTAAATGGCTTTGTTAAGCTCTGAGTTTTTGCCATTATGGTGACCTGTTAAATGTCAGAAAATACTTCAGAGAGGCCGAGGAGGAAATTAGTGTGTATTTCTCAAAACATAATCAAACCCCTAAACACAAATATATATTAAATGACAAAAAAGTTTAACTATAAAAGTAAAAGAAAACAAGATATGTAAAGTCTTTACTATTTCAAGTCAACCTAATCTTTATCACTCTTAGTTAACATTCGATGCTTACCAAAATGCAAACCCAATGAAAAAATAAATCAAATGAGACTGTCCCTAAGTCCTGCTAATTCCACCTCCTAAAGCTCAAAACCATCATCTCCAGCGTCACCCTCACTGCCCGTCTGTCAGCAGCTGTCTTCTTATGGAATATACCTAACCCAGGGGGACCTGAAGACTTTCCATGCAGTATGAGTGTCAGATGATTAGGGGAAACTCCTTCTAGAGCCCCAAGTTTTATAAATATTGCTTCCAAAACTGACCTGAGATGATACCTCAGCCAGGCATCAGTCACAAAAGTTCTCATTTCCTCTCTATCATTCTCCTACTTGTTAGTACAGTGCACTGTTTTAAAGTATAAAAGACTTCTGGGTGTCAAAGAAACAACTCAAAATCTTCGTGTGATATTGAAAAAGAATTACTCCACTGAGTAACCCAACTTTTTGCAAGTGAAAGTTAGGTGGCTCCATTCCTTTAGACCAGTGGTTCTCAACCTTCCTAATGCCGAGACCCTTTAATACAGTTCCTCATGTTGTGGTGACCCCCAATTTAATTGTTACAAATTGAACATAATTAAAGCATAGTGATTAATTACAAAAACAATATGTAATTATATATGTGTTTTCCGATGGTCTTAGGCGACCCCTGTGAAAGTGTCGTTCGACCCCCAAAGGGGTCGCGACCCACAGGTTGAGAACTGCTGCTTTAGACAAACATTAAGACTAATGGAGTTATCAGCTGACATGTAAAACATGTTTAAAGATGGAACATTATTTTACTTTTGGCAAGTAACTCAGAAGGAGGTAAAAGAATTGAGTGACAGTGCCACATGAGAAAATGCTTCCATTTGTATCAACTTATGAATGGGAACAAGGTTTTCAGCACCACTGCTGTAGCTAAGGTCCTCAGCTCTTCCTTAGAAAGGTATCCAACTTGGTCTTCCAACTCCTACTTTCTTCTTTTATTTAAAAAATTTTAATTGATCTTAGAGGAAGGGAGTAAGAAAGAGAAAGAAACATCGATGTGAGCGAGAAACATCGACCAGTTGCCTCTCGCACATGTCCCAACTGGGCATCAAACCCACAACCTTCTGGGGTACAGGACGAAGCTCCAACCAACTGAGCCACACCGGCCAGGGCCCTGCTTTCCTTTCTAATGTACTCTACACTGTCATCAGGTAATTGTTTTTAAGTAAGGATATAATACATGGGAACTTATCATTAACCTGCGTAAAAATCTTTCACAATTTTCTATCATCAGATTTTTAAAAAAAGGAAAAAGATTCAAACATCTCAGCATGGTACTCGAGGACTTCCATCCCAATTACAACTTTCTGCACGCACACCCCAGGCCCTCTCTCCCTACACCCCCCACGTCCTCCTGCACATGGCACTGCTCACCGTGCTGAACAGCCATGCCTTCACTTAGGACCCCTCGGCCTAGGCCCCTTGCTCGCTCCCCTCTCTGCCTGAGAAAATCTTCGTATTCAGGGCACATCACAAATGCCAGGTCCTCTGACAAGCTTCCTGGGATCCCCAGACAGAATTAATGGAACTCTTCATTTTCTGACAATCGTTAATGGAGCATTCATGCTGATTTTTAGAGATAGGAAGATGAACAAGACAAACGGTCATAGTCTTATGAGGACAGAAATGTTATCTGATAAATTACCATACATTGTTGATACTTCTACCAAGAAGTTATATCATTGAGCTGGAGGAATACAAGAACAGATAGATGGCTTGGAAGGGACAGAAGAATTTAATGCTAGTAAACTGTAGAGCCAAGACTCAATCAATCCCAGGTCTGCCAAAGCCCCCGCTTAGGAAAGGCTAAGAATGTGATCTCTGGAGTTATACCACCGAGTTCAAATGCCAGCTCTACCAGTTATTAGTTTGCAGAACACATTAATGTCCCTAAACTTCTTTTTACTCACCTGTATAATGGAAACTAGAATAGTGCTAACACCTCAAAGCACTGTTCTATTAAATGAGGCAATGCACATACAACACCCAGCCCGGAGCTTGTATATGTTAAACAGCCCATATAAATGTTAGCTTCTTTTATTATCATTAATAACTATTAAGATATACTGTCTTTTCTCTAACACTAACATTTTCTGTTATATTCTATAACAAATTACCTTTTAACATCATTTTCTAGTCTGCAAGATGGGGAAACTATCTTACATATGTAGTTAAGTCTTACATTATGCCAGGCACATGACGGGCAGTAATCAAGGGTTACAATAAGCCTCCTATGGCTGTGGCTCTCAACCCTGGAATTACCTGAGGAATTTCTAAAAATTCTGACGCAGTCCCACCGATTCTGATTTAATAGGCCTGGAGGGGCAGACGCATTAAACACTCGCTCGGTGACTCACATATGCAGGCAGGGTTAAGACCGGGTCCTAAGGTCTAAGATAGCAAAACGAGTCAGTGGGCAACACCTTAACATTCACACACACACAAGCAAAAGAGCCATCACAAGCTGAACACAGTTGGTTATGTTTTTGTTTTGCCAGAAAGAGTAAGGAAGAGCTTATTTGGTTTTCATGTTTTGAAAGATTTGAACTTAACGGAAATAAGCCAAATCTTTAAAAACAGTTTAGGGAACAATTCAGGCATGTTCTTTACAACTTTACAGGGTTCCTTAGACTCAAAACAAACTTACTTTCTTCTCACAAATCTCTCCAGATTTTTACAACATGTTCACTAAAGAGTCAATTTTTAGAAAGCAAAACTTCATCGCGCTCTGCTCTTGAGGAATAACAGGTAGTTTTCCGCGGCTGGAATGGTATCACTTTGTCTAGGACAGTGTTAAAACCAGCTAAGGGATCTGTAAAACATGTCAATGCCTAAGGCCACAGCCTGGTGTAGTACCTTGGGCTCTTTTCTCCCCCCTTAAAAAACAGCTTTAATGAGGTATTAATTTAGATACAAAACACACGCATTTAATTGCAGAATTCAATGAGTTTTCACAAATGTATGCACCTGTATATATGATAAATGTATAACGACAACCACAATCATCAGATACAACATGCCCATCACCCCCCAATTTCCTTATGCCCCGGTGTGAATTCCTTCATCCACCAGCACCGGTCCCTGAAAGCCACTGATCTAGATTTCATGTAGATGGAGTCATAAAGAAAGAGTCTTTTTTGGCCTTTTTCATTAGGGTGACACTTGAAATCCATCCACATTGTTGCTTATAACAGGAGTTTGTTCCTTTTCACTGAACAGTATTTCATTGAATAGATGGATATATCCCACAATTAATTTATTCACCAGTTTAAAAACATTTGGGTTGTTTCCAGGTTTTGGCAACTATGAACATTCAAGTCTTTGTGTGAACACAATCGTCATTCCTCGTAAGTAACCACCACAGGAAGGAGGCCAGATCAGCTGGTAGGTGTATGTCTGGCCTCATAAGAAACTGCCAACTGTTTTCCAAAGTGACTGAGACATGTTGCATTCTTACCAGCCATGTATAAGAGCTCCTGCTGCACCGCTCTCTCTCCCACTTGGTGTTGTCAGTGTTTTTAACTGTAGCCATTCTAGAGGGTGTGTAGTGGTACTGAGTTTGGTTCACAGTGGCTTTAACTTGCATTTCCCTCATAACTAACACTGAGCATCTTGCCTGGCCAGTGTGGCTCAGTGGTTGAGAGTCGCCCCATGAACCATGAGGTCAGGGTTCAATTCCAGGCCAGGGCAGATACCCAGGTTTCAGGCTCAATCCCTAGTAGGGGGTGTGCAGGAGGCAGCCAATCAATGATTCTCTCTCATCAGTGATGTTTCTATCTCTCTCTCCCCCTCTCTTTTGCTCTCTCTGAAATCAATAAAAAACGTATTTTAATACTGAGCATCTTTTCATGTGCTTATTTGCAATTCATGTGTCTGGTAAAATGTGTTCAAATTTTTTTCCCTACAAGTTGTCACCTTAGTGAATTATTTTGCAAATATTTTTCCCAGGCTAATATGGTTTGCCTTGTCATTTCTTCACAGTGTCTTTGAAGAAAAGTTTAATTAATGAAATTCAATTTATCAATTTTTTTCTGTTTAAGTTTCATGTATTTTTATGTGGTCTCCACAAGATTTTTTCCTGACCCCAGAACATAAAGTTTTTTCTCCTACATTTTCCCCCAGAATTTTTATAGTTTAGGTTTTACATTCAGATCCAAAATACATTTCAAATTAATTTATGTGTATTGTGGGGTAAGGGTGGAAGTTCATGTTTTGCATATGGATATCCAATTGTTCAACATTATTTGTTGAAAACACTATCCTTCCCTCACCGAATTATTTGAGTTCTATATGTTCTAGTCCACTGATTTATATTCCTATTCTTACACCAGCACCAGTCTTGAACACTGCAGCTTTCCACTAGAACTCTGAAGTCAGGTAGTGTAATTCCTCCAACATTAGACTTCTTTTCGGATTGTTTTGACTATATTAGGTCATTTGCATTTCCATATAACTTTTAGAATCGTCTTGTCAATTTCTATAAGACTGACTTCTGGATTTTTATTGGTATTGCATTCCATATATATACCATTTTGGGGAAAACCAGTCTCAACAATAATGATCAAAGAGCATCATACAGTTCTCAAATTTTTTAAGACTTTTATTAATTTCTCTTAATGTTTCAGTTTTCATCATGCAAGTCTTTCATATATTTCATTCAATTTATCCCTAAGTATTTAATATGTTATTACAAAAGTTTTATAAATTTCAATCTCCAACTGTTTGTTGCTGATGTATAAAAATGCAATTAATTTTATACATTGACCTTGTAACCTATACTCGTAAGTTCTACCAGCTTTTTGTAGATTGCTTAGGATTTCTACATGAGATCTTCTGCAAAAGAAGACTCTTTGATATTATCTCACATATCTATTACTGTGTTTAGTATTTGTTTTTTTCCCATGCCTCATTTTGAATAGTTTGTATTGTCATACCGTCAAGGTTGCTGATCTTTTCTTCTGAAGTGTCACTTCGGATACCGTATTTTTTATCTCCAAAAAAGTGAGTTTTTCTCTTTTTTAAAAATGCATTCGTTTTCTCTTATGTTCATGTTTTCCTTTACCTTCTTGAACATATGTGGCATTTATAATAGCTATATTACACCCTTATCAGGTAATTCTATTATCTTGGTCATTTCTGGTCTATTTCCATTAACTGTCTTTTCTTTTAGTTATAACTTACATATTTTCCTGCTTTTTTACATGGCTTGCAATTGACTAGCTGTTGGACACTATAATTCTGACTTTTTAGTGCACTGGCTTTTGTTGAACAGTGTTGAATTTTGTCCTGGAGCTCAGTGAAGTTACTTGAAATCAGTTGGATCTTTCAAAGGTCTGCAGTAAGCTCTGTGAGGGCGGTCCACAGCCACTCCCGTCTAGGGCTAATCTGCCCCGATTACTAAGGGGACACACTTTTGAGGCCTCTTCTCTATGCCTGTGTATTACACGTCTTTCTATTCTGACAGGTTTGGGAACATGAACTATTTCCAGGCCTGTGTCATGGGCAGTAATTTTTCTGCCTAGTCCTTTCTGGTTTTGTTCTTTCAATATCAGGTTGTTTCTTCACACACATGTACAAATCAGTGCTCAGTTAGACTCAACGGGACCTTCTGGAGATCTCCTGAGCACTGTCCTCCGTGGCCTCCAAAAATTCTCATCTCTACCTTCTCTACACAAGTCAACGCCCACGCTCGGTTTGGTTACATCCTCCTTGCACTATGGCCTGGAAACTGCCTCCAGGTAGCAAGCCAGGGCCTCAGGCTCACCTTGAGCTCCTTCTCTCTGCGGTCAGAGTCCACCACTGCCTAGTGTCTACTGATTCACAACCGTTACCTTAATTTTTTCTGGGTTCCTGTTTTAGGGGAGAGGGTAAATTGAATTACTGTTGCTCTATTTTGACCAGAAGTGCAAGTCTACCATTTCTTAATATAAGTTCCCCAGGTGATTCTAAATGTGGGGTCAGTTTTGAAATCAGTGAGTAGCTTTAATTTCCTTAAAACTTCCTGCCCGACAGCACCCTTTTTCCTGAGCTGATTAGTACTGATAAGATTTGGAAGTCTGTGTCCCAAAAACACCATGGCATGGCTACCTAGTACATTCAGAGAAACTTTCAATGAAAGAAATGCCCAATGCTACTTTGTAAAGAACGAAGAAACCATTCTCCTTTGGAAGGAAGTTTCATATGGAGACACTTAAACTGAAATATCTGATAAAAGATGCCACAAAAGAAAGCTTTATAAACCACGGGGGCAGAAACAACTAATAATTTAATAATTTGAAGAAATCCTCCTCTTCCTGAGGCATTCCAGAAAAACCCTCTTTTTTTTTTTTTTACTTTTATCTCACAAACCATTCGTAAAGAGCATGCTCAACAGGAAAAATACGTTAACTATCAATAAAAAATCAGTCAGTCACAGAATTTTACTTGCATGCGTTCAAAACCATAAAACCTGTAAACTAAGTAAGAATATACATGTAATATAAGCGAAACTTTTCTTATCAGTAAAACAAAAATTTCTCTTCAGTACCAGTGAATGTCATTCCTATGTGCAGATTTCTTCCCCTCCCTCCAGACAGCCCTCGGAAACTTACCCTTTTCCAAGTAAGACCTTGGAGCCCAGGGCGGGTCCTCCTCAGCGTACGGGTCACTGTACTCCACCACGGCGGCCTCCTCCTCTTCGTAATCTTCTGGAGGAGGGGGTGGAGGGGGGGATTCGTCAAAGACTGGCTCTTCCGCAGGTGGTGGTGGGGGTGGTGTGTCTGAAACTAAGAAGGTACCAAGCTGATAACAAACTACACCTAATGCAAAGTTCTATATTTCTTATCTAAGCTAAGCTTCTATGTTCATGAACTATAAACCTACACTTGAAAATAACCTTTAAAAAAATGAGTGGGCAAGAGAATTCCTCCACCAACTATAATGTTTCCAATCTCCAAGCATGGCTTTCTCCTCCCCATGGGTTAGTGTGTATGGATGCTAAATAAAGTTTAGCCAAAATAATTAACTGAGCCTTGGGACCTGTTTATGCTAATATAATATAGTTTGGCTTTATATGCTATCCAAGAAGTGGTTATCAGAAATATTAATAATTTGGATACTTATAACCATATTTAGTTTATAAAAAATTAGAATGACTCCAATGAAAAGTCAAATTTTAATAATCTGCTACTTTCTCTCAATGAATTTCTTAAATATAGCACCTTACCAAATCATCAGGGCGGAAATCACAAACAATTTTGGGTAACTTCATCCATGAATATGTTTGTGTTTAGTTTGGTTATTTCAGAATTTCTCCAAGGTAAATATATAAGAGTGATTTAAAATATTTTAAATATCTCTTTATTGAGATCTGCTTCCACAGCTCAGGTGTCAACATATAGTAATGTTTAAAATATTATCTCCAAACTCAGGAACTCACAGCTTTTAAAATGCTTGATATACAAGAGCACAGCTCAACAGAATAAACCAAATAAAGAAAGTTGCATTGATCAGTTGTCCCATTTTAATGAACAGCACAAAGTCTTATTTATGCAGTACCAGTATTGTTTCTGTGAAATTCTCTGAGCAATCTGTTTATTTTCTATTTTTTTCTCTAAACCTACTGATGGAATCAAATGGATTTTAGAAGATTGCTGGCCTGGTGAGGATTATCAACTTCATACTCTGCCCTATCCCAGTATTCTTCCCATCTGCTGGGCCACTCTACTTATTAACGCATCTACTTTATGAACTTTAAAACTTTACCCATTACAAGTATTTCTTTTAGTCCTAATGTGTTTTTTTAATAAACAAAACATATAAGTATGTGATTTTAACATAAAGTTTATGACAAATTATATGTAGTTGGGGTAAGAATCAACAATATATTCTATTTGCATTTAAACAATTCCACAAAAACATACATCCAAATGAACTCTGTCTTTCAAAACAATCACCTTGAGAAATTAATTACCAAATTACTCAAAAATGCTGCCACTGCTCATTTTTACCTTTTCTAATAACCACCTGAGGGCCAATTTATGAATGGGAAAACTGGCTTTCATGCCTACAGAATTAAGTGGAAGAGCAGAAATTGGAACGCCAATGTTTATTATCTTAAAAGCTTACAATGCTATGGGATAAGATTAACACACTAACTTGAAGGTAAAGTTTCATTATTATTCCCTCAACAAACATCAACTGAAAGCCACTATGGTGAGGTACTTACTACACTCAGCACTGGGAATAGAGCAGTGAGCAAAAGTCTTGGAGACATGGACAGCCAAACTTCTGTTTAAAATTAAGTGCAGTAAGTGCTTTAAGTCGTTATGGAAAATACAGCAGTAGACTAACCCTCTTACATGGGTTTCTGAAACCTGAAAGAATGAGTAAGAGTTAATGTCTAGGGGGTGGGATGGAGTGGGGGTGGATATTTCGTGTCAGATGTAAAGGAAAAAACAAATGCAAAGGTAAGAAAGCAAGAACTGACCAAAGTTCGGCACAAAGAGGCTTGAGGAAGCTAAAGAGGACTAAGCAGGAAGGGCCTTGCAACAGTTTGAACTTTATCCAAAGAGCAAGGGGGAGCCATGGAAGGGTTTTAAGAAAAATAACGGGATCCTTGCTACAATACTTAGCACAGTAGAACTGGTTCCAAATAATTCCAAACTTCTTTCAAACATCAATCTTAATACAGAGGGACTTCAAAATAATGTATTTGAAAGCTATGACGATAATCCCAAAAGATAGGTATGTATCTTTCCAAGGTGAATGTTTTGAAGAGGACAACATTCATTTGAATGTGTAAGTCCAACTATGTCTTTAAATCAACCACAGCACACCTCATACAGAAAGTTTCTTATTTTTATACATTTTGTAGGTGAGAAATGTTTATGACTATGGAAAGAAATTAGAAAAGATAACCCAAAAGGCAATCACATTGTGGTAAACACTGTAGGTGTCATGGAATACCCTCCAATACACTCAAGTAATATAAGCTATTTTCAGAAACTAGCAAGTAGAGGTGCAAAGGCACCTGGAAGAGAGATTGAGCCCTCAGGCTAGTAAAACTGGATTATCATCAGTTAAAATACAAGAAGAAATGTGTCAATAAAAACGGGGCTTTAATTCACTAGGGAAGCACAAAAAAGGAGGGACTAAAAGTGTTTGCTATGTGTCAGATGCTTTCCTCAGTGCTGGGGAAACAGCCCATGAACAAAACAGGCAGAAGTCCCTGCTCTCACAGAGCTTACATTCTATCACTGGCAATGCCCACGTCCGAAGGAGCAAGAGTCCTAAGCAACAGCGTGCACATCTTCTACCCCATTGGTGAGGCCATCCCTGTTTGTAGATGCCAATGGGCGACTTCAGCCTGACAACACTAAGTTTTCCTTTAATGCCATTTCCCTTGTTCAGATTCCATGCCCACCAAGAACCTTCTGATGACAATATAGTTCCTCAGGCAGACTGCTTGCAGAGGAGTCATCACCCAGTCAGACTACGTTCACTGGTCTCTGTACAATTCGTCACTGAATGTTGACACAGGCCTCCTGCTTTGCAGACATCAGTCTCCTGAGATTCCCTAATACTTCCCTGGGAGAAGACTCAATTTGTCAATAAAATTAGTTATGCGATCCTGCATAACTCAACACCAGACCACAGGCCAATGGTAATTCATTGCCAATCTATGAGGCCCCTTAGGAAATAGAGAGGCAATTTGGTCCCCTGAGACCTACCAGGGCCTGGCCATTTTTACATCTGAAATCACAGGACCAAAGGAAAATTCTCAGGCCAGCCACAAAACCCTAAATTCCAGTAATAAAACACTAGGCTACTTGTTTGAGCATCCCAGAGGGAAAAAAATGGGCTAGCTAGTGATTAAAGAGCATCTCAGATGTGATCTTTCTTTTCTTACATGTGCCTTATTTAAATTTCTTTTCACTACCAGATTTTAAGTTATTGGAACGTAGAGAATTTCATCTTAATTATTTTATCATCCCTACTAGCTGCTCATATAGTGACTTATTCATAATATTCAAATACTTGAGGTATCAGCAAATGAATACTTAGCCAATCACATATAAATGACATTTTATGCCTACAATCTGATCTACAGCATAAAGAAGACATAAACTTACTATTTTCTTGGACTCTGGCCACAAATCCCATTAAAGGTAACTGAGGAGTTACCTGTAGGATGGAGGGAGGAGGAGGAGCAAGAGATACTGTAAAAACAAAAAAGGTGTGGAGGATAAGGGGTAAGGGCGAGTTACATTAAAAGAAAAGGATAATACAATAAAACGAACATATAAGGAGGGAAACCACTATGCACGAACATGTTATAAGATATATTAAGGATCCTCTTTTGAGGGATAATTCATCAACACACAAAACAAAGTATTAGGAGAGTTTTAAGGAAGTTTTTAAAAATAACAACAGGAAGCAGTCATTCATCCATACAGGCCTACTCTAACATATAATGGCAAACTGAGCTTTTCATATCAATAACAGGCCTTCTCAAAGAAAAGGATTTCTTCAGACTACAATGAATAATTTGGGTTTCTGGAAATTACCTTGATAGTTACAAATTTAACTATTTGTCAGTAGAAGGGAAAAACCCATTACATACCAACATTCTAAAGTTATATTTCATTACATTAACAGGCAAATAAATTAGTTCTTTACTCATTAATTAAATGAATATTTACTGACTTCCTACTAAGTGGCAAGCACTCTACTAAGAGACCAATACCAAAACCATTCTCGGAGAGTCAGGTCTGTGTCATTAAAATTTTTCATAGTCCCAATTCATACCACCTGCTCAAGCAGGTACATTTTCCTCCCTGACCCTGCAGAAAAGTGTTGGCCTCATTCCAGTCATTCTCCTCTCCTCTCGGTGCCTTTCCCTTATCTCAAACACCTGGTACAGTGTCTAGCACTAGTAAGCCTGCAACAAATGTCTGACATATGTAAACACACAGATAAGCCAGGTATGGGCCCAACAATTTCCCAGGATTAACTCTACAGTTATAGTTTCCTTCAGAATGGGTATAAAGTATGGCAAGCATCTTCTTATAAAGAGATAATATCTTTAATGACTCCAAACTACAGTTAAGACTAATAAAACTTAAAAAATGAACAGTCACCACCCTCAAAGAGATCACATTCTAACTGGGCATATAAACAAAATAGCAATGTTAACCCAACAATTACTTGTAGCAATTTCCTGCAGGTGGTGATGGTTGGTGAGACATGGTAGTGTTAGTGGAGGGGTAGCAGGGAGGAAGACTAGATGTGACTTGAGGAAATGGAGCTGGACTGACAAGCAGACAAGAGCTGAGAAAGACAAGCTGAGAACCAAGTGAGGACAGAGGCTTAGAGGTGAGCAGCTCGCAGGCCCGGCGGTATTCCGCACGGCTAGCATAAGATACCCTAGAGAGAAGCAGAAAGCACAGAAAGAGACGGGTGGATGTTAAAGTGAGAGACCTTGTATGTTAGGTGAAAGACTTCTCAGTGGAAAGAGACTTGGACTTTAATGTCACCCAACATCTATTAACCTGATTCACCATTTCCTTGATGTTGGAACAGCAAGTTAATTAGCCTCTTTGTGCCTATTCCGTAAATGTGATATTTTAAAAGATAAATAATGCAACCTACTTTACAGAGTGGTTGCAAATAAAATTTCCAAAACAAAAAATGTATGCAGAAAGCCTGGCACCAAAAAAAGGGGGGGGGGGTGCGGGCAGCAGAAATAGGAAGGAGAGAACTTAGTAACACAGTGTGGGGGAAGAATACGTACAAGGATTGGCTAGTGCATGAAGGAGCTCAACAGCTAAGGATGATTCTTAGATTTTTTTAGTTTTCCTAACTATGAAGGTGGAGGTGCCATTTAACCACATTAACCTTGGTAGGTAGTACAGGGAAGGGGCTGGTGAGGAAGCAGGTCAGGGAGAGACGTGATAACTAGGATGCATGAAAGTGATGTGGGCACAGACCTGGGAGGCAACTGGAAAGCTGGGGTTAAGTATGTGAGAAAAACTGAGGTAAAGAGCTAGGAGAGCTCAGCAGGAGATGACATGCTGTGGGTAGATGCGGGGACAGCATATGTACTATGCAGACAAGAGTTAAGCAGATAACCACGAAGCATATCTAGATTTAAGGGGCAGAGTAGTAGAACCTTAGAAATCGATACCTTTCTTCAAAAGATATCTTTTGGTTAGGTTTTTCCCTAAAGTCGTATTTCTTGGTAATAAATCCGTAAGCTGCATGCTGTCTCCTACCCTCTGAAACAATTGTGGGTATGTTCACATTGCCCTGCTTCCCAAACGGGGGTAAGAAGGAGAGTCAATGAACAGACAAGACAGCAGATAAAACTGAGAAACAGCAACAGACAGCAACTGGCATTAGAAAAGTGCAATTACATAAATGTTCATATCAAATAAGGTGAAAAGTTCCTCTTCTGTCAGCACCCGTCCCAACCTCCCTGTAACAGGAAAGCAGGACGTTTCCCACGTCAGTCATTGTCTCTCCTCCAAATGAAAAACAAACAAAAAAGACCTTCTGGTACCCCAAAAAATGAATGATTAGGTGCTTAACTCACAACAGTCTTTTTGTAAGTAGGCTGTTTAGCACTTTTCTTTTCTTAGGATATTTTTTTCCATTGATTTTCAGAGAGAGTGGACTGAATGTTTATGTTCCCTCAAAATTCATCCATTGAAATCCTAATTCCTAATGTGATGGTATTTAGAAATGGGGCCTTTGGGAGATGATTAAGTCAGGGGTGCAGCCCTCACGTACGGAATTGGGACTCATAAAAGAAAGGCTACAGGACACAACATGAAGCCGCAGTCTGCAGCCGGAGGGGTTCTCACAGAACTCCACCATTAGCGCCCTGACCTCCGACTCCCAGCTTCCAGGGCAGTGGGCAGTCTCTCTTGTTTATAAGCCACCTAGTCTCTGGACTCTGTTACAGCGCCTGAGACACTTACCAAACTAGGTTTATATAAATAAATGTGTACAAATAAGTACACATATTTATTCCTTTTTAACACCAAGTGCTTCATATTTATATTTAAAGTAAAGTAAAAACTGTTAACTTGTGATCAGTCCTATTTGTTTCAATGACCCTACTGAATGCTGACAAGATGAATGATAAACTGGTGCTGCTATTTCTTTGGCTGGATTAGATTAAGAAACAAGGAGAACCAAAGGGTTTCAGTTAGGCCCTGAAAGTTACTTTCATCAACTTGTTTCTGAAATAATCTCATTAGAAAAGAAATTACTGTGCTCCTAAGACTAGACTCCAGACACTGGGTGTTCTGGATTTTAATTCCTATGTTATAATGCCCTTCCAAACGCAAGCCAAATGTAGTAACAGTGACGCTAGAGTTACATCTCAGAGAAAACCCCAGGGAATATTCACATGAATCCCGGCCTGTCGGCTCACTTCTTCAGAAGCATGCATTCATGTCCAGCCTCCAAATGCACACAAAAAAGCTCATATAACACATATCTGGGATCATTTTGTTAAATCAGGTTATTAGCTACTTGAAAAAGCACAACAAATTTTCTCATTTTAAAGATGAAAAAACAAGGACCACTGTAAGATCAGTGGAGTAATACATGAGACTTAAATGATACGCTAAAGCAAATGAAATAAAGGAGCATCTAATAGCCTTAAACACTGGTTTGCAAGATATTAAGTCTTGCAAAAAAATGTTTTTCAAAGAACATGTTTTAGGAAAAAACAATTTTTTTTTTTCATTTAGAAAAAGCACTGATTAATCAGCTAGCAAAGCTGTAGCTACCCTCTGTAAATAGTTACCGAATCCTGGAGTAGAAAGGCAGAAATTAACACAGAGGACAGGAACAAAGCAGCCAACTAACTAAATTGTCTCACACATTATGCTGAAGGCTCAAAATCTCAATTGACTGAACTTTCATGAGCATAAAAAATACTTTCATTAACATCATTCCATAGAGTAAGGTATTCTTCTACTTTAACATATTCTCTCAAGTATGTTAAAATTAGACTAATAAAGAAAAGTATTAAAATAAGTATTTAAAACATGTATAAATGTGCATAAACAGCCTTCAAATAACTTCCCCTACCATGTGCACAGCACGGAGTACCCTTGCGTACAGTATACGTTCTGTGCATTGTGCACAGTTGGTCCCAAGCTGTAACAGGGAAGCATCTTGGCCCCAGTACAGAGGGCCAGGGAGAGAGCTTACCTTCAGAACTATGAAATAACCCACATCTAACAAACTACAAGTTAAAAATAAAAATGCATTTAGGCACAAAATATCTCCTATTCAAATATGGGTTTGGGACACTATGACTTAAGAGAATGGATGAAAAGACAGGCAGATTTGTCAAAATTAAGCTCAAAATGAGTTAAAAAGAATGGTGCAGCCAAAATCAGTAAGTGTGATCAAAGATAGCAGTAAGATAAATATATTTCAAGTAAGGCAGTTGGTAATCACACTACAGGGCACACTATAATTAGTCTATAAATTTGGCATTTAATCTACAAGAGAAACCCAAACCAGTAAAGAGATTTGAATAAAGGAACAAGGGACTCATTCTACATTTAACAAGTAGTTACTGAGCACTATCCCAGGATATCTATAATAATAAAAGCTTAATATGCTAATTATACTGGACAGCCTAACGTCCTTCCGGACGACCTTCCAGACGAAGCTGGGGCTGCAAGGGCCAAGGCAAGCCACCACAGCTTCGAGGTCTGAGCCCCTTGCACAAATTTCTTGCATCGGGCCTCTAGTCTATAATAATAAAAGCGTAATATGCTAAGTAGACCAATGGCCTTCCGGACAAAGCCGGGGCTGCAAGGGAAGCCCGGTCCTGGGTGCCAGAGGGAAGCTGGTGCCGGCAGCCGGGGGAAGGAAGGCCTACTCTTGCATGAATTTTGTGCATCGGGCCTCTAGTAACTGTATAAAAGAATGGCAAGGTCTCAGGCTCTGATGCACTTTACATGGTGGACATCTTCCTCCAGACAAAAGAGAACACAATGAGAGGGTAAGAGAAGGACTTTTTGTTTTGTTTTTATTTTACTGATTTCAGAGAGGAAGGGAGAGAGAGAGACAGAAACATCAATGATGAGAGAGTATCGTTGATTGGCTACCTCCTGCATGCCCCACCCTGAAGATCGAGCCTGCAACCCAGGCATCTGGCTTGATCAAGAATCAAACCATGACCTCCTGGTTCATAGGTCAACACTCAACCACTGAGCAACACTGGCCGGGCAAAGGATTGTTTTTTAATCTAAAGGTAGGTAGCATAGTTAAAACAGAAAGAACATGGAATCAGATAACCTAAATTCAAATCCTAACCTGATCATCACTTCAGTCTTAGTTGCCTCACCTGTGAAAATACAGATGAAAATGATCACATAATTATAAGAATCAAATGATAAGTATAAAAGTACAGTGGGGCCTTGACTTACGAGTGTCCCGACTAACGAGTTTTTCGAGATATGAGCCATCTCTCAGCCGATTTTTTGCTTTGAGTTGGGAGCTAAAATTCAGGTTACGAGCCAGCTTCAAATACCCCACCACTAGTTGGCGCAGCGAACGTCACAGTGAACGCCACAACATCAGCCCAGCATCACGTGTCTCACTCGTTCACTTTTGATTTGACATACGAGTAATTTGAGTTACGAGCTCCGTCACGGAACGAATTAAACTCATAAGTCAAGGCCCCACTGTATTACTTAAACTGCATATATGAAGGGGGAGCATATTTCTTCTACATGACTCCAAATGCAACAAGGTTTCACCAAAAGGTAGTAGCCATAGGAGACAGATTTCCACTCCATAAAATTTAGGCTATAATTTTAAATTCAGGGTTTATCAAATATGGAATGAACTGACTGGCCTCTTTATATATATATATATATATATATATATATATATATATATATATATAAATTACTGATTTCATAGAGGAAGGGAGAGGGGGGAGGAGAGGGAGAGAGAGAGAGAGAAACATCAATGATGAGAGAGAATCACTGATCAGCTGCCTCCTGCACACCCCCTACTTGGGGGATCAAGCCTGCAACCCGGGCATATGCCCTTGACCGGAATTGAACCTGAGACCCTTCAGTCCGCAGGCCAACACTCTATCCACTGAGCCAAACCAGCTAGAGCCTGACTGGCCTCTTGACAAAAATCCAGAAGAACATAGTAGGCTGACATACCATGGCCACAACAGTCACAAAGTCTAAGATGTGCTCTTACCCTCTCTGGAGAAGAAGCAAAAATTATGACATATACTATTAAATACATGTGAGATTACGTTTTCTGTATGCATGCAACTGAAAGGTGATTGCTCTATCTGAATCAATCTGTCCAAGTCCGTTTTCCCATAGGTTTGGTAGGAGAATTGAATAAGACAGTACAACTCCCTTGCACAAAGCAGCTTCAAAAATGTCCCTTTTACTTCGCCACTTATAAACTCTGTCCATGTACACTCAATTTTCATTATCTGCTATTCATAGAGCATGGATATCTGATAAATAGGAAGAAAATATTGTTTACCGCACTATTATTTTTAAAAGCAAATAATCACTAGCACATTTAAAAAGATTCTGTTCAAAAAATTAAGTTCTACAACTTTACATGGAAACCATTATTGAGTTTAAAAAAAGGAAATGGAAAATACAGTATTAGTAACCCTGTATTCATTCCTCCATTTATTCAAAAAACTAGTACTAACCACCTAGCATGTGCTAATAGTTTGTAAATAAGGGTTTTTTCTCTCTGTGACTGAAGATTTTTAACCAGGTATGTTCTGTAATTTGCAAAAGAAAATCTAACCTGGATTCTGGCTATAGAAAGGTCCTCCATTCATCTGAGTCTGAAGGCTTGTTTGTGAGGTGATGGAAGGAGGGCGTCGATAGGGCAACGAACCCCCTACTGTTGGGGGAGTATGGCGAGAGGCAGGTCTGTTCATGCTATAGAACTGAACAGGATGACCTGGAAAAGGAAAAGAACGTAAATATGCCATTAAAAGAAAATTATCTCAGGCAATGAAATACTTCAGGTATGCTTGAATCTTAATAATATGATGGAAAATGAGAGTTTAGCTAATTAGTTATCTGACAAACAATGCAAGGTAACAGTTACTGCTCAGCAGACATACTAAAGTGAAAAAACAGGAGAGTAGATTCATGATTAGGCTTAGAAAAGCTACATGTAAACAGATTATTAATTAATATTTTAATTGTATTAAATTAATAATTGTAGAGGGTTTCAAAATCATCACAATTAATTAAAATTTATGGCTCACTTCCTCAGCCCAGTCCCCCCACCCCAAATCCACTAAAAATACTGAAAATTAAAACTCAATAAGATAAGAATGCCATTTGGGAAAACAAAAGAAAAAATGTTTGACACACACTTATCCCAAAATAATAATAATAACTGTAAGGTAGCAAAGCAATTAAAGGGAAACAAAATATATCTAGCAAAAGGTCAATTGACATAATTAAATCAAACACATCTTTATTCAAAGACATCCATCTCTAAAACTAGATTGTTGTTTTAAAATTACAGTTTAAGAAATTACAGTTATGAGACAAAACTAAAAGCAAATCAAAATATACCTTATTTTTAATAACATCCGTTAACCTATTTTTCAGCAATTTCACTGTATTTTGATCTCTGAGAGCACTTCAATAACTAATGCCAACTGAAGACAGTCTTTCCTAACCATCCAATTTCCTCATGCAAACCAGTTCCTAAATTTTGTCTTCACTCCCTCTCAAAACCATTCGGCTGGGGGCCAACTGGTCCAGACAGACAAAGCACTCGAGCACCCAGAGAGACCACTCCAGCAGGCAAGAGGCAGAGAGGGCCCTGCCGGATAGCTCAGTTGGTTCCAGTGTCATCCCCACACACCAAGGCTGCAGGTTCACCTCCAGTCAGGGCACATACAAGAAGCAACCAACCAAGGAATGCATAAATAAGTGGAACAGCAAATCGACGTTTCTCTCACTCTCCCCCTCACTCTCTCTAAAAATAAAATTGGGGGGGGGGGAGAGAAGAAGAGAGGGAAGGGGAGGGAGAAAAGAAAGAGAAGGAGTGAAGTATAGGGGAAGAAAAGATGAGGGAAGGAGAGAGGATAAGGGGAAGAGAAAGAAGGAGGGGAAAGAAAATGAAAAAGGGTAAGAGAGGAAAGAAGGGAAAGTGAAAGGAGAAAAGAAAGACAAAACACATTTCTTGATGTTATCCGTGATTGTAAAATGGTCTTACATGATAAAAATCAGTCTTCAGGAACTCCATAAATTTATCAAACCTGGACTCATGGACTCATATAAAGACTATCATAAGTGCACTCAAGATCTGCTGTAACTTGTCTTTTTGCACTGGGAGCAGCTCTGCTGCCATCCCTCTCATCCCCGGAAAACGTACACCTGTACCAAGTGGTCTCCACCCCCTCCTTGGTCGGGAGGGCCTCTCAGCTGCTGAGCTGGTCACTGTCTGCAGTGGTGCCGAACTGGACACTGGCAGGTGAGAGCCTCAGCAGCTTGGCAGCCCCGTGCCCCGGACCTCACTTATTTCTAGCCGCAGCTTCTAAACCAGCACCATTTCAAGAGACACTGAGAGAGCAGCGAGGTTCATTGGGGCCGGGCTGCCACAGGAGGGTGGCAGGCTGTGGGGCTGGGGCTGGGGCTGGGAGCCTCATCACGGGTTCTGCCAGGAAACAGCAGCGCTTCTCCTGCGTTCTGGGCTGTGCCCGCTCAGAGGCCACGGGGCTCTTTGCCTGAGGGGCCTTTCTCATCCTCTTCGCCATGGAAAGGGGCTGTCTCCACCTCCCACAGTTCTTTCTCCCGTGTCTGGTCTGCCCTGTATGTTCCTTTTCCTAGACCACCCGGGCAGCCTGGGGAAAGTGGTTGGCTCAGGGTTTGACAGAGGGAACACAAATAAAGACGGTATTAATAATAATTTAAAAAAAGATTTGCTATGCCACTTTTTACATATGACAGTATTGAAACCTAAAAATCAATTCTATTGTATAAAAATCTTGAGTATGAAAGCTTAAACATAATCCACTGTCAACTCACTGTAACCATGATAAAAAATAAAAAAATAACTATTATTTAACAGGGTACATTCTGTCATTGGAATCACCAGATACAAATACATTATTGGCATTTTAGTAGTTAATATGGAACAAACTAAAACAAGACTAGGATCAAGTTAAACACATCTGATAATTCACACCATTATAAAGTTTATATAGTTAGATCCAGTCTAAAGTCCCACATGTGATAAGTCCTCCATGACTCAGAGGCACTAAATGAAAGAGACCATTAATAAGGCATTTACTTTGCTTTGGGTTGAAAACCAAAACAAAACCACAGTTAGTGACCATAATCCTAACTGTAAAACCTAAAATGACCTCTAGAAGAAAACAGGACAAAATCTTTATGATTATATGCAAGGTAAAGAGTTTGTAAATATGACACCAAAAGCACAATCCACAAAGAAATAAAATGAAGTGAAAACCTAAGCTCACACAAAAACCTGTGTGTAAATGTTTATGGCAGTTTTAGTCATCATCACCCCAAACAGGAAATAATCCAAATGTCCCTCAAACAGGAAAGGGATAAACAAATTGTGTGCATCCATACAGAACACTATTCAGTAATAAAAAGGAACAAAATAATGAAACATGCAACAACATGGATAAATATCAAATGCAATGTGCCAAAAAGCCAGACCCCAAAAGGCTATATACCATATGCTTCCATTTACATGATATTCTTACTAAGGCAATACTTTAGAGACAAAACAAAAAAAACCCAAAAAACAGATCACCTGGTTGTCAGGGGCTTGGAGTGAAAGTGAAGGACTGACTACACGAGGGCATGGAGGAAATCAGGTGTTAAGACTGTTTCTACATCCTGACGGTAGTTGTGGTTATATCAATGCATACAATTCAAAACTCGCAGAAATACACATTAAAAAGGATAAATTTTACTGTACATAAACTATACCTTAATAAAAAGAAAAAAGTACTTGGGATTTGAAGACACAGTATAAAAAAAGATTTAATCTATATAAATTGTTATTGAGGCATTTACTACTTCGCTTTTTGTTTTAAAAAAACCTGTAATTATGCACTCATACAACATGTTTATTCAGTGCAGACTATGAACCAGCACCTGTTATTAAATTATAAAAATGTTGACTCCCAGGTGGGGTAATTTGTCCTTTCTGGGCCTACAATGATTTCAGGATGTATCATTTACACTTATCAATGCAGGGGCACAACAAAATTCCCATAGTTAACTTGCCAGTCTGACCAAATAGAGCTGTTTGCAGATCAGAGAACAGCCTATGTTTACGTCTGCACACTGTAGGAAGCTTTTCTTAAAAAATCCTATTACAGAAGTTATCCCATTGAACACCGTCCAAAATCCATCTTAACTAAAAGTGTCTTTTAATACATTTAAATATCTGCTCATAGCAGCAGAGCCAAATATATACTACTAGATGCCCGGTGCACAAAATTCGTGCACTGGGGGGTGAAGGGGGGTGTCCCTCAGCCCAGCCTGCACCCTCTCCAATCTGGGACCCTGTGGAATCAGGCCTAAACCGGCAGTCGGACATCCCTCTCACAATCCGGGACTGCTGGCTCCCAACTGCTCGCCTGCCTGCCTGCCTGATCACCCCTAACTATTCCCCTGCCTTCCTGATCACCCCTAACTGTTCCCCTGCCTGTCTGATCACCCCTAACTGTTCCCCTGCCTGTCTGATCACCCCTAACTGTTCCCCTGCCTGTCTGATCACCCCTAACTGTTCCCCTGCCTGCCTGATCACCCCTAACTGTTCCCCTGCCAGCCTGGTCACCTCCAATTGCCCTCCCCTGCCCGGCCTGGTCACCCACAACTGCCCTCCCCTGCCAGCCTGGTCGCCCCTAAATGCCCTCCCCTGCAGGCCTGGTTGCCCCTAAATGCCCTCCCCTGCTGGCCATCTTGTGAGAGGGCGTGACGGTCAATTTGCGTATTACCTCTTTATTATATAGGATATGAAGTTCTTGGCAAACTAAGGTGATGTGTAACCAAACAGATACATTTTTATCATAGATAAGAACTTATTTACTCACCAGCATCATTATTATCTTTGCAAATATATTTTGTAGCAATTGGGCCCTTTTCTCCTTCCCCATCAAAAAACAGATTTTAGGTTATAATTTTAAAACAAAAAAACACCAGTCAACCTTAAATAAAACTTAAGTAAACATGAAATTCTTTAAAAGTCCATTGTCTATGTTTCCAATGCTGCTATAATAAGCAACAGATTCTGTTATAAAAAACTAATAAGAGACTTACAGCTATATTAAATATCTCCTATAAAATATACCTTAGAATTAGTCATAGATTTTTTTAATAACCTAACCTGTAACAGACAGTATCTCTAAATGACAACTTTCCAAGACTGTTTATAAGACATCTCCATAATAAATTCATAAATCTCTAGTAAATGAAATTCAAGCAATAAAAAATTGATATTTGTGCTGCTCTATTGGAAAAAATATGAGAGAAACTTTACCCTAATTTCCTTAGAATATTTTATTTTGGTCATGTGCCATTTTCTAGTTAGTTAGTAAATTATTCTTATATATACAAAGCACAAACAAACAAACAAACAAACATCACGAAGCCAGAGTTCCAAGTAATAAGAGAGCCAGATGACTGGAGTGTGCCTGCCAAGGAATAAGCCAATACTCACCTGTAGGGGGAGTAGAAGAAACAACAGGGGGAGTTGGAGAAGCGAAGCCATCAGCAAGGGCCTGGGCACCCCCAGAAGCTGCGTCTGGGGCAGTGGAGGAAGGGACAGTAGCAGGAACAATAGGGACAGGGGCAGATGCGGAAGTAGCAGGAAGGGGAGGAGTACCAGCAGAGCCAGCAGGGGCTGAGGGGAAAGAGGAGTGAGAGGCAGCATTAATGAGGGATTCCCATTAGGCAGGACGAGTAAGGCATAAGAGGACTTAACGTTAGATATTCAGTGCTCAACACTAACCAAAGAATAGAAGAGGGCGTTAAAAAGCAAAATGAATAAAGCTTATGTTAAAGGATTATTAGATGTGCAGCAAATAATTCAAGACACAATTAAATGAATTCTTTAATTCATTAAGAAACAAGCATTCCTTTTTACCTGAAAGCCACTATTCTGTAAGAAAAATGTTCCCTTCATATGTAATCTTTAGCATAATATTCTGTAAGTGATATACAACACTAAGTACTAAGAAACAACAGCATTCCAGACTGAATTACCCAAATCAGAAAACAAACATATGTTCCAGACATAAATATCTTATCAGGTAAAAAATCATTCAGAAAAACACCAATCTCTCTTTTCCATGGTTTTTTAAAAGGTAGTGTCTATTTGTTATTAAGATAAGGAAGTTAAATTAGTGAATTAATTATGTGACAGTCTATCCCCATGTCTTGTGTGTCCTGCTTTTAAAACTGAATTTTAACTTCGGTGTCCTCAGATTAAATAAGCACATTTTTCTGTTTCAGAGAAAAGAGGGTAGCATTTCAGAGACTATTAAATTCCAACACTCCACTAAATTTAACTGTCAAAATTACTGTGATATTTGCCCAACCCTTTGTTATAAATATGACTTCTCACACTGAGTCTCCTGTGTCCTAAGGCAGGCACTGCCATCACACAGCTGGAATGGAACATACAACACACCAAGGTGGGGCCTGAAACCTCTAAGCACCCACAGAGCTTGCGGCACTGAAGACGTAAAACCAAAGTACAGAGAAGTGTGTGAGCATCAACTGGCAAATTACTTGGTTAAAAATAACAAAAACACAATAAAGATTTCCCAACATTTATGGAGTCCAAAAGGAAATACAAATCGTGATTATGAAGAAAGCCCACTGTAATGAAATCAGAAACTGAATTTAAACTCAGAAAGGACAAGTGAAGATGAAGCACCATGTTTTACCTGGGAAGACACTGGGAGGAGAGGGAGTAGGAACAGCGATGGGAACGCCTACACTCCCACTTCCACTGTTCTCCCGGCTGCTGCTCCGACTACTGGGGTGGCTTCCTCCACTACTCCCACTGCTGCTAAAGAAACGGGAGCCACCAAGACATGAGTATTTATATGCAGTGAGGGATCTCCAGCACTTCCCAGCATTTTCTGATGAATACAGTAACAATAAAAATAATTCAAGCCTCCTACTTCAAATATGAATTTCTTAATTAGTAGAGGAAAAAGCAGAGTTCAAGAAACTTGTTTTGACCACTGTTTAGTAAGCATATATTAAAGAAAAAAAATTTATAAACATAAATAATAAATGAAGGGGCGCAAAACATAAAATAAGACTTTCTTTTACTCCAGTTTATTGCCTGTCTGAAGAAACTTCTGAACAGACTATTTAATTTTATTTGTCATAGTATCTTGATATACTATCCCATATTAATGTTTTACTGCATGTAGTTTTTCATCTGTAAAGTTCCACCAAAAAACAACTTGAAATTTCCCATATCTGGTCTATATTTTTTAAGGTCAATTATAACTATTAATTTTGCAGAGAAGTTTATACTTTAATATGTCTACCCCCCACCCCTCCCCCCAACTTCCTGACTGCTCAAAGTTGCATCAGAACATGAGGAGAGAGAGGTGGAATTAGATGAGGTTTGGGAGAGCAGAGTGAGGAAAAGAACTTAGTGCTTGGAAGATGAGAGAGATTTAACTGAAGTGATCTGCACAAATAATGGTGCTGTGACCATCACATTCTGCACTGAGGTAGAGAAAATACCTGTAAGTTCGATTTCTTTGATTCACAGAAGCTGTCCTCACAGGGCTCTGCTGCGAGGGAGCCATATTACGGGTTGGGCTAGGTACGTAATCATTGGGTACCACTGGAGGACGCACTGGCTCCAGTGTGCGATAGGGGGAGTGCCGCCTACAAAAAGAAGAGCGGATGTATTGTGTGATCAGCAAGTTTCGGCACAATAAATTCAAAGAGTTGCCAGTAGTGAAATACAATTTGTACTGAGAGATAGAAAAATGTGCTTTTTACATAACCCAGGTACCATTTCAGTCTTTCCTTAAGTAAAATTTCTCCATCATTGTGATGAGTATTGTTATTTTTTAGTCTCCAACCTCATTTCCCTGTGCTAATGCAATTTTGTTCATTCATCCTCAGTGAGCACAAAGGTTCTCCCACCAGATAAGCCAATGTTTCACAGATTCTTCTTGGATGAGTTCAAATTATTTTAGTACCATGTCCAAGTCTCCCAACTGCATTGCATGAATGCACCAATTATCTTCCTCACCCCTCTCTCCCTAACCAAAGATACACAAAGACAGGCTCCACAACTCCACATTGAAGATCAGTAGCAGCTATAACCCTATATTTCCTTTTCTATACAGTGACTATATAGAAATTACACTATATCCATACACTAAAACAAACAATTTAATCTCATCTCCTTCCATTCTCACCTCACTTCCTCCTCTAACTTTCACCTTGATCTACCTCTGACCCTCCCTCAGAGTTCAACATTTAAAAGGAAGGGGGGAGGTAGAAAAAGGCCTAAGTCTTTCTACCTTATTTACTCTGAACTATAAAGTACAAAACAAATTGGATTCTATTAAAATATTACCCTTTTTTTTTCCTTTATTGATTAAGGTATTACATATGTGTCTTAATTTCCTTTTAAAGGAAGAGAATGAAAAGAGTAAGAAAGGCAAAACAGTTTCCAAATTATTTTTTGGTGTGTGTGTTAACATTTAGATATATTTTTAATTTTTTATTTTTCAATCACAGTTTACATTCAATATTATTTTTTTTTAAATATTTTATTGATTTTTTACAGAGAGGAAGAGAGAGGGATAGAGAGTTAGAAACATCGATGAGAACGAAACAGCGACCAGCTGCCTCCTGCACATCTCCCACTGGGGATGTGCCCGCTACCCAGGTACATGCCCTTGACCGGAAACGAACCCGGGACCTTTCAGTCCGCAGGCCGACGCTCTATCCACTGAGCCAAACCGGTTTCGGCATACATTCAATATTATTTTGTATTAGTTTCATGTGTTCAGCGTATGGTTTCCAAATTTTTTAAGACAATGATAAATTCTCAACTAACGTTTTGTAGATGAGATTCTGATCTTTAAAAGAAAAAAATTGGGCCCGGCCGGCATGGTTCAGTGGTTGAGCGTCAACCTATGAATCAGGAGGTCACGGTTCAATTCCCAGTCAGGGCTCATGCCTGGGTTGTGGGCTCGATCCCCAGTGAGGCATGCAGGAGGCAGCCGATCAATGATTCTCTCTCATCATTGATGTTTCTATCTCTTTCTCCCTCTCTGAAATTATTTTTTTTAAAGTATAAAAAGTGAGATCTCAAGATGTGAAAATTAACTTTCTTTTCCTGAAATGATGTTGCTCACTTAACTTATGAATTTCTCAATTCTCGCCCCCAAAGCCCCCAAGTTTCCTTTAAGTTCTGCTCTCTTGGGTTACTCACATCATGGTTCACCGATTTGGGATGAGATCACTTTGCAAGACCCCAGCCACCCCGCTACCCTCAAAATCTCCTTGCATAAATACATATGTACATTTATAACGAAAAGTAAATAAGGGGCACCAGATGAGATATTGGGTTAAAGAGGGGGGGAAGGAATGTCAGGACTTTGCACTTAAAATACTAAAAAGTTTAGGCATCTCTGAAACTGTGCATAAATATAAAAAACCATAATACAAAACTGATTAATTTCCAAACATCTGATTTCCAGACAATTTTTCCCAGACAACAAAATCGTTCTGTTTCAAGCAAGAAAAAAACCTTTGCTGACTAAGAACTATACAGTGCAGGCAATGACAGAAACAAGGTAAAAAACAAGGGACAGAGGAACAAAATGTGGTGGCCAGGCAAAGACTGCAAGATGGCCAGGCTATGACCATCAACCGGTTTATGGTGCCCAGAGACTGAGGATCCTGCAGAATCCTTGTTAACACACAAGCAAAACAAGTATTGGTATATGAGTAATCATCAAAATTTGAGAGCAACAGAAAATTTTATTTTACTAGTGACTACAGTGGGTTACCTTGCTAATAATCTTGATTTAAAACCTAACAAAATCCATTAGGTACTATACATGATAGAACTGTACATGTTCACAGGGAAATAAAGCAAGCACTTCCTCTTGATTTGACTCTCTTTCCTCTGCAAAATTATACTCCACCATGTCGTCTACATTCTAGCCTGAGGAGTAAATCTTATTTGATCTACTAGATTCGTTCCTCTCTAATCTAAGCAGATTTTTTTTGTTGTTTACCTAAATAAAATCCTATTCCTGGCTGGAATTCATCAGAATTTTTTTTTTTTTTGTCTACCTAAATAAAATCCTATTTCTGGCTGGAATTGTTATTCTTTTGTTTCCCACTGTCCTAACTATAATTTCCAACATCATCCTTTTTTATATCCCAATTCATCTTTGTCTTCTGATTCACATTGCTTATGATTTTCTGTGTGTTTTTGGTTTTCATTTGTTTTGTTTTGTTTTTGTTTGTTTTTTGTGTGTGTGTTTTTGGTTTTTTTTTGGTGAGGGGGCCCAAAACAAGATTGTCAATTTAAAAAGTTTAAGCATATATCATAAAGACAATGGTTGTCAAAGCAATTTGTTTTTGTTTTATACATTTTTTAAAAAAATCCAATTCATGGTAGTGACTCTGAAAAATTGATAGATGACAAATATTACCCCCTTTTACAGATGAAAAAACAGAATTTACTAAGAGGCTGACGATATAAGACCACAGAGCAGGAGCAAGGCTGGATCATAATCTTGGTCATTGACTTCTGAGGTGCATTATGCCTGATCACAAATCTCCACAATAAACCAAGTTTTTATATTGTGATGCTACAGAAGAAAAAAGTCAAGCTTTTCTATTAACTGAACATTTCTGCCAAAAGTCAAATCCAGAGGCCACTTCTGTAGGATCAAATTAAAGCTCAATATTCTCCTAACTTGAGAATATAGAATTTTATAATCTACATAGTGCTCTTCAGAGGAATAGTCTAAATAAGGATAGTCAACTATAATACAAAAGACTAAAACTTTTATGAAAATAAGAATTAGAGTGCAATTTATAATAACCCAGGAACTTTAGTTAGGATTTCATCTTAAATGTAAAATTCACTAGAAAAATAAATTCTAAAGAAAATCTTTTTAAAGTATTAAAATGTTTCCCAAGAAAAGGGAAAATTATTCACAAAAAGATAATGCTAGGAAGGAAAATGTTATCTTTTCAAATCTTCAAAAATAAATTAAATATATGTAGTGTTTAGTTTCCCACAACGCTACCTGAAATCGTTTTGTTATTACTTAGTTACATACTCACCCAAGTGTCCCTTTCCCTGACAGGGGGGGGCTGGGAGGTTTCTGAGTTGGAGGTGTTGTACGTGGCAGCCCACCCATCTTCATATTCTGGGTACTCACCTAAAAAGTTTTGAGGAAAATTCAATTTGTATGCAGTGAAACAAAGTAGCATTTTGGGGAAATAATGTTATGCTATTTAACAAAGAAGGGGAAGGTTTAAATAGGGAAAAGAATTGGAGGCCATGCATTTCAATTGCAATTTCTACTCCACTATTATTCTACAGTTGTACTCAAAGGACTCTTCCTAATGTGAAATTTTCAAATGATTGTAAACTTGTATGCAAAGACTTTATTTGCCATTAGGCCATCACACCAACAGATCACTGGTTGGACCATTTGATACTACACTCAATTGAAATTAAATAGGATAACTATAAAAACTTCAGTTTTAATAAAGAATAAACTCAATCAGAAACAATGACACGCTTAAACAATTCCTTGTTTTTTAGATAGTAAGTATATCATACAAAACAAAATACGCTTCTCAAATAAAATATACAACTATAGTTTTGATTCAGTAACTAGAGAATGCAAAATAAAGTTCAATTGCATGATATACAGATAAAATTTTAGTTTTTTAATAGTGGATCAGCCTTACAATTCGGATTTCTTTCAGTTCTCTTATGAAGGAATCACCTACCTACACACTGCCAGAAGTTAAGGCATGTTCCTAAACATCTGAACTAGAAAGTTAGGGCTGAGCTATCCCCTTCAACTGTGAGCAGGACAGGGACCACAGGCAATGTCCTCGTTCCAGTGGGAATGAGACCCACCCAGGCCCAAAATGAAGATTAATTCAGTCATGGGAAAGATGTGAGCAACATAGTCCTGAATCAGAGCTGGGGCCTGACTCCTCACTATCCTATCCCCAACTGAAAATGCAAGTGCAGAAGAGCTGGGTAAGATGGGAACAATAGATAACACAAAAGGAGTATGTCAGCACTTACACAGCCAGCCCCAGAAATCGGGATGTTTTAAGGAGCTGAGGAAAGTCATTCACAAATGTAATTCAAGTGCAATCTCAAACTGTTTTGAACAGTGTAATGTTCACCATATAGGCTCATGCCTGACGCTATCTTAAGCCCCTGGTATTTTGGATTGCTAAACACTTCAAAAGAGGATCTTAACTTTTCTAATAAGAATGTCTATAGTATTCAAATTACATGAGTAAAATGAAACTTCAAGACATTACACCGCTGGAATTAGAATACATTTAAATATGTAATTTCAAAAATAAATTTTAAGAAAATAAATCATAATTGTATACAGAGTACTGAGGCTATCAAAACTAAATGGAATTTTTTAAAATCCTAAAACACTACCTGTCATGTGAATAGGCAAGAAATAATAGAACAAAAAGCAAACTCTTCAAATGAATAGCCCAGTGAACAAGTTGTGTGTGATGATAAAACAATCTTTAATGACAAATGATACCTTTGAAATGTCAGTATTTTTAAAGTGAAGCATTTATCAGTAATCCTTTTGTTGTTGCTTTTAAACAATAGAAGACAAACTGGTTACCAAGTAAGAATAAAATAAAGATTAACTTATCCTTGTTCTCCCCATCATCAATAAGCAGAGGGTATACTAATCATATCTTAAAATGAAAATGCCAGAAGTTTTTTTAAAAAATCAATCCACATTTGGTGAAAATTTTAGAAGTAACATGACAGATAACTAATAGCTTTTAAAACTATAAATTTTAATTTATGACAAGATTTTTTAAAAATAGTAACCAAAGTCCTTTAAGCTCAACCTTAAACAACACAGACCCCAAAGTTACTTTAAGTGATGAAAGAGAAGTCGGTGAACCAAATACTAAACTACAGCAATTTGCTATAAAGGAAGGAAAAGGAGCAGGGATAGAAAAAGAGTAAAGGAAAATTTTATTCTATACATGGGATAGTTAAAATACATGAAATCAGCTTTCCAACTCTGATTTAAGTTTTTGGTATGTAAGGTGTTTTCATTTAAATTGCAGTATCTTCTTTAGGTCTTTTACTCCACCACCCAAAATATAAAATAAACAATATATAAATTAAAATCTGGTGGAAATTTCTATAAATAAAACTTGGTACATTTTATGATCTGTAGAATCATCATGTTTGTATTTGTTTGGATTATGAGGTTTGAATGAGTAACTTAAACCACTTAAGAAATCAGAGTCCCTACGGAATGTTGGAAAAATCTGTAATTTATACGCCACTGATCCTGTACTACCTTTACAATAAGCAAAAAGGGTTTTTCAATGTTTTGTGTTCAAAGTGTTTATAAATTAAACTCTACAACTTGTTTTCCTCAGTCGACTGAAGAAAAAACAACCCAAATTACAGATGAAAAGAACCTTTAAACACTATCAGAAGACCCTGATAGCCGCAGTAATCTTGAGGAAGAACACCACAGTTGGAGGGATCACAATATCAGCTATCAACTATATTACAAAGCCACTGTAATCAAAACAGCCTGGTACTGGCATAAGAACAGGCATATAGAACAATGAAACAGAACAGAGATCCCAGAATTTGATAAAGGAGGCAAGAGCATACAATGGAATAAAAACAGTCTCTCAACAAATGATTTTGGGAAAATTGGACAGGTACATGCAAAAATAATGAAACTAGACCAACTTACACCATATGCATGATAAACTCAAAATGGATTAAGAAGTTTCTGCACAGCAAAAGAAACCCTCCACAAAATGAAAAGGAAATCCACTGTATGGGAAAACATTTGCCAATGATACATCCAATAAGGGGTTCGTTTCCAAAATATATAAAGAACACATACAACTCAACAAAAGAAAGACAAACAATCCAATTTAAAAATGGGCAAATGACTTAAATAGACACTTCTCCAAAGAGGACATACCGATGGCCAAGAGACATGAAAAAATGCTCGGCATTACTAATCACACAAACTAAAATGACAATAACACCTCACACCTGCCAGAATGGCTACCATCAGTAAATCAACAAACAAGTGCTGGCAAGGATGTGGGGAAAGGGAACCCTAGCACACTGCTGGTGGGAATGCAGATTGGTGTAGCCATTATAGAAAACAGTATGGTGTTTCCTAAAAAAATTAAATATGGAACCCCCCTTTGACCCAGCAATCCCACTTCTAGGAATATATCCAAAGAATCTGGAAACACCAATCAGAAAGAATATATGCACCCTTCTGTTTAAAGCAGTGTTTTTTACAATAGTTAAGATCTGGAAACAGCCCAAGTACCCACCAATAGATGAGTGGATAAAACAGCTGTGGTACATTTACACAATGAAATATTATGCAGCTATAAAAAAGAAGGATTTCTTACCCTTTGAGTCATCATGGATGGACCTGGAGATTTTTATGCTAAGGTGAAATAAGCTAGTCAGAGAAAGACAAGTTTCACATGATCTCACTTATATGTGGAATCTAATGAACAAAATAAACTAACCAACAAATAGGTCCAGAGACATGGAAGCATGGAACAGACTGACAGATCGCGGGGTGGAGGGGTGGGGGGATGGAGGCAGGGAGAGATTAACCAAAGAACTTCAGCCATGGATACAAACCATAATGTGGTGAAGGCCTGAGGTAGGGCAGGGGCTGGATGTAGGTGGGAAAAATGTGGGACATCTGTAATAGCCTCAACAATAAAAATAAAATTTAAAACACACACCAGAATATGAGGTATAAAAAGTTTAAAATTCAACTTTTAAGCATGGAAGTCTCTTTTGAGTCAATTCCCATGTGTCTGATCCCAAAGTACTAACTTTGTTTAGAGTCTATCCCAAAGGCATCAAATCTGACAGCAATGAGAGCAAAACAGAGCAGAAGAAGAGCTGAGGAGAAATCAAAACAGCAGATACCACCACCAAATATCAGGAGACTTCCTTGGCACCTGATAAAATCCACAGGGCACCAAGAAGCTCAGTTGGAAAACTATGGGACTAGTTAGTTATTTGTAGTCCCTTATAACTTTAACCTTTTTTCCTTTAATTCTATTCTCTACCTCAATATGTTCTATTATTCCATTAATCACCCTTCCAAAACCACTAATCATTTTTTCCACCATAAAAAGAGAAATGATTTGCTATATGCTGAATTTATTTTTCACTCTACTTTGTTTTGGTTCACCCAAAATTCTTAATGTGCCCCAAGTTGATACAGCAGACAGACATATTCAAAGAGGAATAGGAAGAAAGAAAAGACAGCATTGGTGCACTCTAGATCCTACAGTAATCTCAGGGGACTCTTCTCACCCTGTCAACTCCACACAGGTACAGTAGAAACAGCTACTGTACAGAGCCACTGTACAGGGGAGAGGAGCTATCTGGTGCAGAGATGTTACGGAATCTTATCCAAGTGTGATGTTTCCATATTAGATCTTTCTTTCAAGGAGTCTCTCATTTCCCACTCACTCTGCCCTATCTTCCACATGAAGATCCTGAATCCAGAAAGGTCAAGAAGAAATCATAGTAGGTCTGGAGGAAATGAGCATGGGATAGTAGCTTAGGCAAGCTGGTCTAAACTTTAAAGGAAAAGAATTGATCCATTTTGTTCATTTCTGTGTTTTTCCTTCAGTTATCTCTGTGTATTTCATTTATTTTGAAGATTAACATATCAATAGCCAAAATTTGAATACAGACTTTAGAGAGAAAGAGCCAAGGTAGCCACACACTATTTTGGGTCTGGCTCTTCCTGTTTGATGCAAAGGAAATCTCCTCACAATTCCACAAGCCTCATTCACCAAGCCTGAGAGCACAGAGCCGATCAATAGCACAAGAAGTGGGTTTGCCTGGGCTCCTCTAGCCACATCTCCTACCACAATCTATTGAAATTTCTGTGGCCACATGGTGCGTAGCTAATTAATAATTCAGATCTCAGTGATTTTGTCTTCTTGCTATCACTTTCTACATTGAAGACATGGCAAACAATTAGGTATTAGAAAGAATATGTATTTGAAAATAAATTATAAAATTCACCTAAGGAAAAAAAGAAGAAAAAAAAGAAAATGCAAGCTCAATTTGGTGAAATAATTTTAGTAACGTACTATTTGATAGGCTTCTTGTAACTAGAGTGTCTTTTACCATTAATTCTCCAAAATATTAAAATATTACTAAAACAAATAACCAAAGAAAATATTTCTAATTCTTAACTTGTATTTTGTTAAACACTATCATCCACTTTTGATGTTTTGCATATAATTAATCCTCAGCTTGAAAACCCAAAGTGATTTTATATTGAAGCATATATTTTACATAGCAATTTGAGGAAAAAGACTAATTTTCTTTTTTGCAAAATACACGATACTGCAACTTAAAAAAAACACCCTGTAACACTGAATATTTTCTGCTTCTCAATTTCTTTACATTGAGAATCAAAAGACAATGATATAGTGGCCACAAGGTATGTAATACAGCACACCATTTATAGAATAAAAAGGCTATTACACAGGGGGAGGGTTAAACAAAGCACATTAGTTGGCTCTCCAACCCTTAACAAAATTTCTACATTTGCATAATCCAGCTAATTTTATTTCATAATAACAGTTTATGAAAGGGTAACTTACATTTCAGTTTCACAGAATATATTAACCATTTATTGAATAAATATTTACTAAGCACCTAATGAAGAGTCAGGCACTAGTCTAGGCACACAAGATAGGGCAATGAACATACAAAAATAACTGCCCTCATGGAACATGAAGACACCACAAAGTTGCATGACAAAAAAAAATAAATAAAAACAGGAATTATTTGGTTTTAAAAGGCCAACTGCCAAATATCTCTTCACTCCCCATATGTAATGTTCTATATAAGAACAGAGAATGGAAATCCAGCCCTGGAATCTTACCTTAAATCTAAGCAACCACTTAATGCATAAATGGAGCAAATAAAAGAGGTAAGGAAAAAAAGCATTGAAAGGTTAGTTGGAACTTCAGGATGTAAAGAGAAAGGGAAAAACAAAGAAAAAACAAGTTAAGCATTCAGCATTAAAAAATAATGTTTCAGTAGATCATAGAAAGAGTGGTTAAAGCAGAATGTGTCATGAACAAGAGTTTTTTGATGAAATTATATGACACTGTTTTATTCAAAACCTTAATTTTATTAAAGATTTCTTCAAATTAGTGACCCTAAAAACTAAAAGTCCAAACAATTGAAAGGGACTGCACACTCCTAAAACAATAACATTTTACTTCGAGAATTAAATGAGCATTGAAGCAGAGAATCACCATTTTATTATATAAGTGAGCAAGTACAAATAGTTTTATATTCAAAGTGCCTTTTTGTCATTAGATTCTGGCAGTACCCTAAAATTTTCTATTAGCAGTTGCTAGTCTTGAATAAATCTCAAAAGGTTTTCCCAAGCTGAAATAAATTTCAGTTATTAATTATCTATCCAATTACACATCCTATATTAACATGTTCTAATTAATACAGTAATCCAAATATATGTAGGTGTCAATTATAAAATTAAATATCAAATTCCAAATAGTGCTTATTATCAAAATTCTGAGGAAGAAAAAGTTTTTAAATTTACATTGTACATTTTCATGCACATACTAGCCATACTAGCAGAGTATTTTTTAATTTAAATTTGCTTATAGTCATAAATCAACTGCATAAACTATACAGTTTCACTTATAAGCATATATATTTACTCAAGTCACATTTCATAAGTTATTGACTTTAAAATCATTGGTGAGATGCAAACTTTAAATAACTTAATACTTAGTTAAAATTCTGAATATTTTCTTAAGTGCAAACACCAATTTAAATAAAATTTATATACCTCCCAATTTTTGATCATGGTACTTTATATACATAGCAGGCACTCAAATGAATTTTAGAAGATAGCCAAAAAATACAATGACCATATATGCAAAAGCAGTGGAAATATTAATTCACATATTACTTTTATCTAAATTATTCTCACCCAAAATGTTAAGATAAAATTATTTTAGAAAAATCAAAGTGCATTTTTGTTTATTTATGTTCTTTCTGAAAACTAATGCCCAAAGTTTGCTAATAAATTTTTATGGTAAAAATTTTAAGATAAATACTTAATAACATAATGAATGATTTTAATCAGTCATATTAAATCATTAAAAGGTTAATAAGATTATACCACATTTATTTATCATATATATGAGGTATTATCATTAACTGATCAAGCAAATGCAATTCATTCAAAAATAATTATTTAAAACCTGAGAACATAGCACTAAGAAGCAGCAAGGAAGTTAAAAGAGTTTAAAGCAGCAAGGACCCTTCAGAACCACACTGGGCTAAGACTTGGTTCTCTAGAAACAGAAAGATAAAAGCTTAATTTTCTAGAGTTAGTTCCATCATGGGCTATTGTTTTTAAAAGTTTGACAAAAATTATACTTACCTTTACTCCATGTCCAATATCATCTAGAATTGTATAGTCAATAGGTTTTCTAATATAACGAACCGGTCTTTCAAGATTGGCTGGAGCAATAATCTTATGTGTCCTTGAAGTGTTTTTATTGGTAGTCAAAATACCAATTTCTCTTCTTGCAACTTTCTCTTTATGAATATCAACGGTCTGCAAAATTTAAATACAAACAAAAAAATGTATAGCTCTAATATCCAGAAAAATCAAATATAAATGTTTAGAAATTTAACATTGTTATTCATATTTTTAACCACAACTGTTAAATTTGCTACTCTTTGCACCAATACTGACTTTCTCCAGTTTTAGGCTAAAGCAAGGTATGGCAGACCATGACTGACAGACCAAATACCACCCACCATCTGTTTTCTAAAACCCAAAAGCTAAGAATGGTGTTTACATTTTTTTTTTAATATATTTTATTGATTTTTTACAGAGAGGAAGGGAGATAGAGAGTTAGAAACATCGATGAGAGAGAAACATCGATCAGCTGCCTCCTGCACACTCCCTACTGGGGATGTGCCCGCAACCCAGGTACATGCCCTTGATCGGAATCGAACCTGGGACCTTTCAGTCCGCAAGCCGACGCTCTATCCACTGAGCCAAACCGGTTTCGGCGGTGTTTACATTTTTAATGATTGAAAAAATAATGTTGTGATGTATGAAAATTATGTGAAATTCAAATTTCAGTTTTCATAAATAAAATTTTATTGGAACCCAGCCATTCTACTTGCTTAAGTATTTTCACACTACAATGGCAGAGATGACCAGTTATAACAGAGACCTTATGGCCTGCAAAGTGTAAAATATTAACTGGGGCTTTACAGAAAAAGTTTGCCAACCCCTTTCCCTCCCAATAAATAAATAAATAAATAAATAAATAAATAAATAAAATATTAATAAAATAAAAAATACTTTAAATGTCTGTTTCTTCATTAGTAAGTTAATATATCAACTAAGCCTTTAATTATTCAAATAACAAACATGGTTTAAATTATTCACCTTTCATAAAACAAATTAGTTACTAACAAACTGAACTGGGTAATTTCAGTTATTCATTTTTTATAAAATGATGTAAACTACACATATGAAATTAATTAGGAACTGTTTAAATCCTACTTTTCATGCATACTGATACCCTTTGGGATTTCCTTAATTTGGGAATTTTTAAACAAGAGGGAGAGTTTTTAAAGAAAATATTATCTTACATGGTGAGTTTCTTAGGGTTTAGATTTTCCACTCTCTGTTAGTAACTAACTTTGGAATTACCTCCATTCTTCTATTATTTTATACCATTATTTTCGATCTCCTTTACTTGCTTTCTACTAACTACTTGAACACCAAGCCCAGTAAGTTTTAGCTCTTGGGAAGATTGGAGAAACACTACCTTTTCATTTACATTGCCTTTTGATCTCTCGTGATTTTTTAAGACACGAGGAACTAAAGCAGACAGTACCAGCTGTTTTCAGTAGTTGAGAGAAGAGATAGGAATGGCTTAAAAAATTTTTAGTTTATAAGAATTTTGGTTTGAATAATATTCTATAAACCTTTCTTATAAACTTCCAAGAAATGGACACAGCAAACGGCATTCATTCTTACACATAATGCTACACTGACTTAAAAGTAGTTATATGTACTTGTACAAGTATCAATAAAATTAAATGTTTGTTCTGATAACTATATTATCTTGAAAATATTTAATGTTAATTTAAATCCTAATCTCAGTTTGAAGATTAACATTTTTTAGCTTTTTTAAAATATGCTTCCAAAGATTTGAGAGAACAGCAAGGAAGATAAAGATGGAATTTCTTAAAAATTTATCATCCTTAAATTACCTAAGGTAAACCACATCAAGAACCTATCCTAATACAGGCATATCTCAGAAATATTACAGGTTCGGTTCCAGACCACCACAGAAAGCAAGTATCGCAATAAAATAAATCACATGAATGTTTTGGTTTCCCAGTTCATATAAAAGTTATGTTTATACTTTACTGCTAAATGTGCAACAGCATTATGTCTACAAACAATTATATACCTTAGTTAAAAAATACTTTATTGCTGAAAAAAATACTAATCATCACCTAAACCTGTTGGGAAAATGGCACCGACAGACTTCCTTGACATGGGATTCAAAAAAAAAAAAGCAATGCCCTGACCAGTTTGGCTCAGTGGATAGAGCGTCGGCCTGCGGACTGAAGGGTCCCAGGTTCAATTTCGGTCAAGGGCATGTACCTTGGTTGCAGGCACATCCCCAGTAGGGAACGTGCAGGAGGCAGCCAATCGATGTTTCTCTCTCATGGATGTTTCTAACTCTCTATCCCTCTCCCTTCTTCTCTGTAAAATCAATAAAATATATTTTTAAGAAAGCAATAAAGTGCAATAAAACAAGGTATGCCTGTACTTCCTTATGGATATGAAGAGTGTGGTATACCTTAGTACACTATCTAATACTACATTGTCCTCTTAGTAAAAAATAAGGTGTCTAATACTAAATATTCATAATTCTGTCTTGCATTTAAAAATGTTTGACATTTAGAGAATGGGTTATTACTTTGTTGTTTTTTTAAAGTATTTCTCCCTGATACATAGTTGATAGAGTCGATGGAATTCTAGTCCTTAGGTTCAAATTCAGAGTGATTTGGGGCACAGAGTAAGACAAATAGCAGAACCAACAGAATAAAAAGAGAGAAAAGCAAATACAAATCAAGTATCATTTGGGGGAATCTCAGGAGAATAAAGAATTCAAGATGAAAGATAGCTCAGAAATAATCTAATCAGTCCTATCATTTTACAAGTAAGAAAAGTAAAGTTCAAAGAAACCAAATGTCACACAAGTCAGCCAAAGAACCAAGATGAAACCTAGATCCCCTACCTTCCCCCGTCCCAATCCTACTCAGTGTTCATTTCCACTAAAATGGAGAAAAGAGCTAGAGCACTAGGAGACTGAAAAATGATAAGGTTCTTACCCAGGAGACAGAAAAAAGATATTGATGAGCAAAGAAATCAAATAGCTCAGATATATGATATCGGCTGCTCCTGAACCAATCTACCAGACAACCCTTATATAACTCTTGACACCTACTACCATTCCAGACATCATGTGATCTTTATCTTTGACCTGACTGCAGCTCCACTTCTTTGCCTCTTCAATCTTCCCTCCAAATTCTCCAAACCTAGTATTTTTGCCCAAATTGCAAAAAAAAAAAATATGGTCTCAAGGTATCTTAAGAACATCTGGTTCCTTCTAAAAACATAATATTTTTAATAAAGCATAACAATAATAAATTTTAAATACCAAACATTTGGGGGGGGGGGAGTATTTTAGAGTAAGGGCTTGCAAACTACAGCCTAAATGCCAAATCTGGCCCAAGCCTGCTTTTTATATGGCCCACAAGCTAAGAGTGGTTTTTACATTTTAAATAGTTGTTTAAAAACATACACATGCAAAGAACAATATGAGACTGAGACCATATGTGGCCCAAAAAGCCTAAAATATCTGGCTTTTTATAGAAAAAGTTTGCCAATCCTTGAATATTTACTGAGAATTTGCTTTGTAAACAGAAAACATTTTCTCTTAAACTATAGAATAATCTTTTAGTCTAAGGAGCATCAAATAGTTCTGATGTTCAATTAACTTTTAAAAGAAAGAACTCTAGCTCAGCTGGTTAGAGCACTGACCCCATAGACCAAGGTTGTGGGTTTGATTCCCCATTAGGGCGCATACAAGAAATCAACCAATGAATGCCTAAATAAGTGGAACAGCTGAACAACAAATTGATAAGTCTGTCTCTCTCTCCCTCCCTTCCTCTCTAAAATCAATCAATCAATCAATAATAAACCAAAGAACTCTACCTATACATTAAACATAATTGAAAAAAATTTAATCCTTAAAAAAGTGTTAAAAAATATAATTTTTAAAAGATTTTCTCTTATTTCACAGATATAGCCTCCATCTGACCACTTTTCCTACTCAAACCTTCATCCAACATATTTTGTGTAAATTTAACAGCTGCTACACCTGCAGACCACACACTCCTTCAGGTATTGCCCTCCACACACTCAAGTCCAAATGAGGACAGTTAACATAGGCTTGACAGCTCTGACTGAGGCCCCTGTTATTTCTGACCCTCTCATCTCTATCCATTCATCTCTCCTATGTTTTACTTATTCCATTAGAATAACTTTAAAAGATAGTATTAATTAAACCACATAAATTAAATATAAATTTATGTGATTCTCAAAAGTAAATGTTCTCATTGAATGACTTAATATACGTAAATACAACCTAGAGTAGACTTATTCACCTTCCTCTTTAAGGCTGCTACTCTTCTCTGCCAAAGAACTACAGAATTCTAAGCAGAAAACAGATTATTATAGTTCACTCTCATTTGCTTGTTGTCATCATCTACCTACCTACACAATCTCTCCTACTCCTACAAACTATAAAAAGTTGTACCTCGTTTTTAGAAACTTTAATATATTAACCTATCTTTTGCATTTGCACTTTCTTCTTGCTTTCTTTTTTGGGTCCTTTGTTAAGACTGCAAACTTGCCAAAACTTTAAGTCTCTCAAGTATAACTTACAAATTCTATATCAGATTATTAATCAACATCTCTCCTTCTATAGAAAATCATTTAATCATATACTTAATAATTTAAAATGCCACTGACTGCCCAGCCGGTGTGGCTCAGTGGTTGATCATCAACCCATGAACCAAGAGGTCACCAGTTTGATTTGCAGTCAGGGCACATGCCCGGATTGCAGACTCAATCCCCAGTGAGTGTGTGCTAGAGGCAACCAATCGATGATTCTCTCTCATCAATGTTTCTATCTCTCTATCCTTCTCCCTTCCTCTCTCTCTAAAATCAATAAAAACATTTTTTTAAATGCCATTGACTATTTCCACTAGGTCTTTTCAGAATAAATGTTCTCTCTCATTCATTAAAATTCTTGTTGTTGCTGGATTTTTTGTTTGTTTTTAGTTTAAGAGACACAAAAGTACAACACACAATAAATCATTTAATGTCTACAGAAGTTTATATAGGATGTGAAGAAACACTTATAGTGGAAAATTCAGATTTAAGGTTAAATAATATTAAATAAGATATTCCTAATTTTTTTTTCAAGTTCTATATAAAGATAATTTTATAAGGTCACTTAGATTACTCTTTCTGTTAAGGTATGGTACCATCCTGGTAAACAAAAATCCTACAAGCAGCTATCACATTTATATTTTTCAAAAGATAAAATGTGTGATTTGGTAAAAGATGGAAGAAACAGACAAATTTTCACTTGAAGGCTGATAACTTTAACATAACAACTGAGTTTTAATGAACCATTAAAATTTACTTCCCTAACAAAATCAGAGTAGAAAATTACTCCACAAAAAGATACAGTGTGGCTCAGTTGGTTGGAAAGTTGTCCCTTACACTGAAAGGTTGTGGGTTCGATTCCCAGTCAGGGTACATACCCAAATTGCAGGTTCAATCCACAGTAGGGGAACCTTGTGTGGGAGGCAACCCATCAATATTTCACTCTCACAACGATGTTTCTCTTTCTCTCTCCCTCTCCCTTTCTCTCTCTCTAAAATCAATAAAAGCATGTCCTCAGGTGAAGATTTAAAAAAAAAAAAAGAATAAAAAAATACTTATTTTGAATACTGAGTATTTTCCAAATCATACATGAGTTAACTCACATAATAAACACTGCCAACATCACAGATCACCTGTGTTTATTAAGTGTTCCTCATAACAATACAGAAAAACAGTATGGTCTCACTTGTGAAATATGATTGATTGACGATTCCATCCTTCGCAGCTGGGATGCCTGGATGTCCAGCATCTGCAGGACATTGTTGGCCAAGGTGTTTATCAGGTAGGCAACACTTGCTAAGGACTGGGTGGTGTAGGCTTTGGTTTCTTCTAGGGCTCGCTGCTTATCTGCTGACTAGGAAAGAGAAACAATCATTAATCAAAGATAACCTAGTCTATCAATCTAATCAACAATGACACGCATCAAAACAATTCTGTTGCTGAACCTACACATACTAGCTAATAATGTTCTGAAAACTAGTTATCATCTGATGTAAATCTTTTCAGTAGTTTAATGTATACTGGCTTCAGTTCTCAATCCCTGGACCCCAACAATAGTCAAGCTGCTATGTCATCTACCTAGACAAGCTAGTATGGGCTAACTGGAAACAAGGGAGGCAATAAACTTGATATTCACCTCCACACCTAAAGTGTCAGAGGAAAATCAGAGGGGGACAGGTTACTTTAGAAATAAGACAAGTGATCATACACGAATCTGTTTGAGATTCAGAAAAGAGTTATTTGCTGAGACTGTGGCTGACTATTTTGGGAAAACCTATATCGCTAAAGCCAAAGTGGAGTTTCTAGAAAACAATGAGAATAGAAAAGATAGAGCATCTGGGCTCTTATTCTAACTCTGCTATCATATCTGGCTGTCAGTAAGTCAATTACAATCTAAAGGACTCAGCTACTACACGTTACAATGAAAATACCATATTAGATGTCAGTTTCAGCTATAAAATACCATGATTCTTATTTGGAACATAATTTGAAAGTAGGCCATTTTAGACTGAACTGTGACAAATCATAAGTTTTATAATAGTACCTACTTTAGATTAGGAAAAAATGAGTCCATTTGGTAAATCTGACATGAATCTTGCTTTTTAAAGGCAGACAAGCTCACCTTTATTCATTTGCCTTTTTTTAACTCCTCACCCAAGGATATCTTTTCCACTGATTTTTAGAGAGTGGATCAACTGTGGTACCTGCCCTTCAGTCAGGCAGGCTGCTACTCTAACCACTGACCAAACTGGCTAGGGCCTCATTCACCTCTTAACAACATTCCAGATGACCCTGGCCAGGTGGTTCAATTGGTAGGAGCATCGTCCTATATACGAAAAGGTTACAGGTTCGTTCCCTGGTCAGGGTGCAATTAATATTTATCTCTCACATTGAGGTTTCTCCTTCTCTCTCTCAAATCAATAAAAACATATCCTTGGGCGACAATTTTAAAAAGTATTCCAGATGCCTCCCCGTCCCTGCAAAAAACAGGCAGAATGTAAGCACAAAAACTCTTGCAATCTGGCTCAGTGGTTGAGCATTGACCTATGACCAGGAGCCAGGGTTGCGACCTCTATCCCCAGTGTGGGGCATGCAGGAACTAATCAATGACTGTCATTATTGATGTTGCTCTCTCCCTCTCAATTCCTCTCTGAAATCAATAAAAATGTATTTTTAAAATACATATATATGTATTTTTAAAAACTCTTGCAATCTTTCTAGTGCTATCCTACTACCTGACAAATAAGATTAAAAATTTTCTAAATAACTGCATTTTAAAATATGTTCTAAAACATAGCAAATTAATCACATTTATGCTTAGGTTAATCTCAAACACACACACACACACACACACGCCCCATTAAAATAACAATAAAGAGACATTTTAAATGGAAACAAAACCACGCAAATAGAGGTGCAATCCAAAAGGTCCAAATCTGACTAATCAAAATACAAGAGAAAACAGCAGAAACAAGTTAATTTTGCAGAACTAACGAATATAAATATCCAATAAGTGTGCTCATTAAATGATTAGTACAGTCACTGACAGAAGACCCATAGCAAGGAACATCAGGAGGAATAAAAGCTTCAACAAGCTTCCAGACAGGAAGGGGGGGGGGGGTATCCTATACAAAGAATCAGGAAGCAAAATGGCACTTGACCTCTTAAAAGCAATACGAAGGCTAGTAGAAGATGAAGAAATCTGAAGAATACTTTCACAATATGAGAGAAAATTATTTCCAACCTATAATTTATATCTATCTAGTCAAACTATTAATCTGGTGAAAGTTGAATAAGATTTTCAGCACATAAAATGTCATTTTTTTAAAACTTTCCAAGTTATTTTTCTTCAGGAAGCACCAGAGGATGTGCATCATCAAAACAAAAAGCTAAGGAAGAAGGAAGCATGGGAAACAGAAAACAGGATCTACATGAAAGAGGCAGGCCCATCAAAGGGAAGTCCAAGACTGACTGCAAAGGAAATTTCTGAGATGACAGCTGTGCTGTAGACTAAAATGTCAATAATGCAGACAATCCAGATTGGAGAAGATGGCAACATGTAAGATATACGTCTCCTGTAGGAAGAAATGAAACTGATACTGAGAGACAATTCTCCATGGGTGTGTTGCATTTCTTGACATTGTGTAAACAGAGGCACTGGTTGCTTGTTGCAGACTGTCAAGGATGTGTGTACAGAAACTAGTCTTAGAAGACGGAAAGAGCATCTCCCTCTGGAACAAAGGGCAGGCATGCTTATCAAAACAAAAGATTCAGGTTCCCTAAATGCAGGCTGCTTCTCAATAATACAAGCCAAAGCATGTGCAGCTACCACCTGGCACTCCTCATATCACACTGATAAAATGGATTATAACCCAATGAATAAAATGGGCTACAAGTTTAATAAGGAATAGGATATATGCATAGTATCAGTACCTTATAACAGGTACTTATTAATTACAACAAGGAATATTACAAGAATAACTTCATCAGTGAAAAAACTTGTCAGACACAATTGTAATCAAGTGATCAAAATGAATATCATCAGTAACGGGACAAACTGACTCATCAGTAATGGAACAAATTGAAATCAGAACTTGATAGGAAGAAGGAAAATAACACAGCATCATTTCTAATATTCCTACCAAAAATACATTAACTTGAATCTAGTCATGTGGAAACATCAAACATTTAAGGAAACTATTTAAAAAAAATACTGCCTGTAATCTATAAAAGTGTTACGATCATGAAAACAAAAGAAAAATGAGGAAATAAGGAACTATTCCAGACTAGAGGAGACCAAGAGTCATAACAACTAAATACAACGTATTTCTGAACTGGATTCTTTAATAAAGTACATTATTAGGAAAGTTAGTAAAACTTGAATAGGGATATGAGGATTTAATAGTAAAAATATATCAGTATTACTTCCTATGCTTGTTGGCTATTTTGTGGTTAACTAGGAAAATATTATTTCTAGGAAAAACACAAAGTGTTTAGCAGTGATGGGACATCAGCAAACTTATTTCCAAATGGTTCAGAAAACAAGAAGTTCTTTAATTTTAAATAAAACTAAAAGAAATCCCTTACTTCATCTAGATGGGTGATATTAAATTGTTGTGAGTTTTAAAAATTGAGAAAAAGTCTCCAGTAACTTAAGATTTCATCATAATTAAATTTTGCTCATAAATCTACTAACACCCAACTTTTAATTATCCTGTCAACACATAATTAAGCACGTAAAAAATATATTTCAGTCACTTCTTCATATAAAAGGTTTGCTTATAAATTATGCATTTTTAACCATTCTTCTCAAGCTAATTACCTCCTGAATGCTTCATACCAATTAAAATAATGATTGAGTTTTAAAGAACTTTTCATGTTTAATGTGGAGACTGTTACTCACCAGGAATGAATACACTTGAAAGTACTATACTGAACCTTAATTACATTTATTTTTACTTAAGATGCAAATGCTAAATCTTTTCTCTTTCAAATAATTTCTCTTCATCTTATATATGATCACATGGTTAATGACCAAATTTTAAATATCTAGAAAGCATCCAAGTTGCACATTCTGAAAACATTGTAAAAAAAATAACTCCTATATGTGAATGCTCTGACACAACTGTCTGGTTTTAGTCAAAGTTTAAGAATAGACCTAGAGTACTTTGAAAGTATCACCACAATCCATATGTAATTTCTATTCCCAGCTCTCTAAAACAGGAACTGTTTTTATGTCTGTTCTCTCAACTGACCAGAAAGCTAGCACATGGTGGAGGTCAACAAATGTCTGCTGAGTTGGCCTTCCACTTCCCACTGCACTTTTTCCTTGGAAAATAATCTCATTATGCCACTTAGGAGAAGTTATGGTTATCTGTATACTGATCCTCTTTCCATAGGCCTAGATGCATCTTGAGAACAGGAGTCAGAGTTTACTGACTTCTTTTTAATTCCCCAAGCCACCAAATCTCACACAAAAGAGTAAGTATTAGTTGAAACCAGTGCACCTTTGATCTATGAACAAAACTGGAATAAAATCAGAGTCAGTATATCATCCATCCCATTTTCAGATGAAAAGAGCAAAAAATAACAAATGAATTACTAGATGCAAAACTGCAGAACTCAAGTTCAGATCTCATGATATTTACACTAAAAAAAAAAGCTTTCCACTCAACTAACTTCTATGGTTTGGCCATGAACCAACCCATCACTTTTTTGCATTCTATGTGATGACTCATTACTCTCTGAGACATGCAATGCCTCCAAGCAAATGAACAACAAAAGTACATGATGTTGCCATAACCGGTTTGGCTCAGTGGATGGAGCGTCGGCCTGCGGACTGAAGGGTTCCAGGTTTGATTCCGGTCAAGGGCATGTACCTTGGTTGTAGGCACATCCCCGGTGGGGAGTGTGCAGGAGGCAGCTGATCGATGTTTCTCTCTCGTTGATGTTTCTAACTCTCTATCCCTCTCCCTTCCTCTCTGTAAAAAAAGAACAGAACTCCATTTGATACTCAAGAGAAATAAAATATTACCTAAGTAAAAAAAAAACTACAAAAAATTAATGAAATTCAGGCTCAGTAAATAATAAATGAATGACTGAAACATTTTTTTAATTCACTGTGCCATATGAAGTGGGGTAGCAAAACCAAGGGCACTAAGTATAGGGTCTAATGGGTCAATTTTATAATCTAATACTGCAAGAGTAGACGAAAATACAGTGGGGCCTTGACTTATGAGTTTAATTCGTTCCGAGACCGAGCTCATTAAGGAGCTCGTTAACTCAAATTACTCTATCAACTCAATGCAAAAAATCTGCCGAGAGACAGCTGGTATCTCAAAAAACTCATTAGTCGGGACACTCGTAAGTCAAGGCCCC